CATTTTAATTTATCTTCCTTTCTTCTTAAAAATACCGATAAAAATAAGTAATCCAAAAAAAAATTAAAAATAAGATAAAATAGAATAAAATAAGATCAATCTAAAAGTCCCCAAGAATAAAAAAGTAAAAAAGTAAAAAAAAAGCAGTATTAAACAACAATTCAGCCGATCCGTCTTTTAAAGGAAAAAACTTTCAAAACGCCATTTTACTTTCACTCTCACTTTTCCGCCCGAAAAAAAAGAGAAAGCTCAAAAAAATAAAGAAAAATCAGCACATACTAAATAAACTAAATAAACTAAAAAAAAATAAAATAAAGCTAAACTATAAATAAAATCCTTTAAACAGTTCTGTCCGGTTTAAGATTACTCACGGTTTCTTTAAGTACGGAGATGGTAGCGGCGTCTCGCTTTGTTTCCGAAGAAACAAAGACAGCTGAGAGGCGGAGAAGGCAATGAACTCCGAGGGAACCCTCTTTCTACCCCCCTAAAAATAAAAATCCAGGGAGAGTTAAGAGGTTCTACCTCTATTCATGCGATCTCTACCCCTTCCCTTCGCCCGGGAAGGGGATTGCGAGCCGCGGGCCAGCTGGTAAACGCTGTGCTCCGCGGATCTGACACCTTCTCAGGAGGACGGCTACAAAGTAGCCGCCATCTCCACCGCTTTAACCACCGGAAGTCAAATATACAATATTCATATATTTCTCACTGAACTGCTGAAGAGTTAAATATGGTCTATGACCGCCTTTTAGGTGTAAACCTGCCCTGTTTGCCCAACTATTGGTATTATTACTACTTATACTTATTAAGTCAGAATTCTTTAAAATTCCTGTCCAAGAATAATTAATAAATTAATCCATGTGTAGTTTTTCTATTGCCCCATATTATCTCCCCCCTTTCTTTTTTCTTTTTTTACGAAGGAACAATAATGGCATTCTTCCAACCAAAAGGGGTGGATCCTGACATTATAGGCTGAAAGAGTGTGACTGGCTGAAAGTCACCCAGCTGACTTTTATGCCTCAGGTAGAAGCAGAACTCATAGTCTGCCTTAACCACTAGACCAAACTGGTTCTCTAATCCACTGTAAATCTACATTATTTTATTATTTTATCAATCATTTTTTTCATATTTCCAATTAGCACAACTCATAGAATCAAACAGCCATAGAATTGGAAAGAATCTTCAGGGTCATCTAGTCCAACCCCATGCTTTATTTCCAGGGAAGGAAAAATCATCACTTCATGTGGAACCTCCTGTTCTACTGCCTGAGAGTTTATACCAGTGGTTCTCAACCTTTTTAATGCCACGACCCCCAACCGGTCGTAAGTCAAGGACTACTCAACTGGTGCAGCACCGTTTGCAGAATGGGACTTTTGGCGGGCTCAGCAGGGTAGAGACAGCCTGGACAATTCCTATTGGCTTTTGAAAGCCTATAGAATTAGACTCTATTCAAGAGAGTCTATTCTATTGGCTTTCAAAAGCCAATAGAATAAAAGGGAGTAGCACAGCTAAGGAAAAGGGGAAAAGAAAATGGCAGACTGCGTTGTTTGGCAACCCCCGTGAAATGGTCGTTCGACCCCAAATGGGGTTCCGACCCACAGGTTGAGAACCACTGGTTTATACCATCAGGAAACTTCTGGTATTTGAAAATCTTTCTTTCAATTGTCTCTCTTGTAGACTGAATGAACCCAGATACCTTAACCATTCATGTACACTTGGTTTACAAACCCCTCATCTTCATGGTAGCCTTGTTTTGAACTCATCTAATTCATCACTATCCTTTTTGAACTGGACACATTATTCAAAATAGGGTCTGACTGGATCAAAATGGAGTGAATAGTTACTGTGATCAGGACCAATGTTTTTGTTTATTAACCCCAGATTAGCATTTGCCTTTTGGCAGCTGCATTACACTGCAAGCTAAGGTTTAACTTGTGGTTGATAAGGACACTGGATACTTTTCACATGTACTATTGCCAACATGGGTCTCCTGCATTCTATAGAATCACCCTGTGATAAAATGGATGGTCAATATATTTAATAAATAAAGAAATTTTGCAACATTTATTATTAACATATTTCTGCTTTCATTTTTTCCTTCCAAAATGAAGAATTTTACAGTTTTCCTTGAATTTCGTGCTGTTCATTTCAACCCACAATTCAAATATCTAGATTTTTAAAAAATCTCTTCCTGTTAAAGTATTACCCAGCTGCAGCAGTTTTGTACTATCTGCAGAGCTGATAAGGAACTCCTTAACTGCCTCATTTCAGTCACTGATGAAGGTACAGAATAGCTTAGAATCCATTACACATACTATGGTATTCCATTTGATATCTCCTTCCTAGCTGAAATGGAACTATTAACAAGGATGCTTGGGTACAATATCTTAGACAATTATCAGTCCATCAACAGTAGTATCATCTAGCTATGCTTTACCATTGTATTAAGGAGCATATCATGAGCAACTTAGCTGAAAGTTTGGCTGAGCTCCAGGTACAATACGCATATGGTTTTCTGATCTACTAAAGTAGTAATGCTACTGAAGGTAAATCCAGCATGGCTGATTTGCAACTGAACCTTTACTAGCTCCTGCATATCCGACCAGATCCAAATATGATGATGAGGTCTTTTCTCACCTCTTCTTTTTTTTCTATTTTTGTTCATTTGGGGTTTGTACAAGCTCTCTGAAAGTTCTCAAACACTATGAGAGTTAAAATGATTCCATGATCATCTTCACTATTTCCTTCATTTAAGTCAGCTAAGTTGTCTCTTGCTCTCTATCCTAAACTGTACATCTATCCTAAGCTGCAGTTTTCTCCTTCATCCAGTGCAGAATGAAAATAAAGCTAGTGCTCTATTTCTCTTCAGAGAGAACACAGGCACAAAATAGAAGTTAAGAAATTCTACATTCTTATCATTACCTATTACTAATTCATACTTTCTCCTCACAATGGAACTATAGTCTCTGGCTGTCTATTTGTTTCTAACATAGTCAGAGAACACTCTGTTGTTTTCAATATCTCTTAAAACCTCAGCTCATTCTGAAATTCAGACTTTCCAACAAAATTCCTACATATTATGGACACTACCTAATATATATTTGGTTATAAGCTTATCCTTCCATTTCCTGTAGAAGAAGGGGCTTATTTCTCTTCAGCATTTTAGAGAACTATATATGTATCTCATTATCACTATTGTATACCACTTTGAAAGGAGTGCATCAAATGCAGAAAAGCTTCATCTACATTTTTTGCTTGTCCAGTGAGGTCTTTAATAATGGCATTACTTTTCTTTTTGTCTTCTTTTATTCTCACCAAAACCTATCTGTCTGTCTGTCTGTCTGTCTGTCTGTCTCTCTCTCTCTGTCTCTCTCTCTGTCTCTCTCTCCAGCACAAGCATCTTTTTCTGTTGAGTCTGTTCCTTCCAAAGGTACTGTATGTGTCAATCACAGGCATCCTGCTGCTATGTTTCAGTCAAGCCTAACACAACATACTTGTCTTCCTGACTACACACATTTCTATGAACTCTATAATGGAATTATTTTCACATTTTTTCAAGCAGCTTTCATATCCTCTTTCTTTACATCCAATTCATCTGTTTTCTATTACATCTTCATACAAGACTCATACTTTCTCCTTTGACAATCATTTTGTTTCTATTCTAAAGTCTTTCCCTTTCTTCTACTGTATATCATTTTCTCACGATGCCTTCCTGACAATGCCAAAATTCTGATCCACATTCAAAACCTGTCATCAACCTTTCTATTTGTTTACAAAAATAGATCTACACTTAAACCAAGATTTCAAAACATCAGACAACAAAGTAGATACTTAACAGTCATCAAGTTTTGATTTTTTTTTCTCCCATCCACTTCTATTGCCTAACAGAATAATTTCCTCCCTATCACATTTATTCAGAATGCTGCACTTTCCCTACAAAATACACCCAACTCTTCCTTTTTTTTTTTTGCCAACAACAGGACTGAAATATAAACCATCTCAGTTATGATGTCCCACTTTCATGCATATACATAACCTAGATGACCAAGTCATACTTTTTGAAGTACATTTTAGTCTCTTCATTCATAATTAAACTCACTTATTCACTTTCATGATGACAGCTACTTTAGTGATGACAGCTACTTTTTTGCTGTATTATTTTTTAAAAATATTTTTTATTAAAAGATTTTATAACATAATAAGAATTACATTAAAAAATAAAGTAAATGTGAAAAAGAAAAGAGAGGAAAAGACTAGTCAAAAAAAGGGATAGAGAAAACTAATAAAAGATCACAAAACATGAATATGTATTTTATATGTTTGTGTGTGTGCTTGCGTGTGTGCACGCATGTGCCTGTGGCTTCTGATCTTCTTATCGGCAGTTATGCATACAATTCTAATCAAAACCCTCTCAATGAAATTCCCTTTCTTTTTATGCAAAATGTCCATATCGGATTTTTTACAGTATTGTTGACTACAGACTGCACATTGATTACTTTTTAACTATCATTTTTAGACCACAAATATTACAGATAGGGGCTCTGTCTTATTTGTAAAAATAGAACATAAATTTGTTGATTCAGTGCTGGGGAAGGGCAGAATTGTTTAATTATCCTAAGCACATCCATATTTTTAGAAAAACAAACGTCTAGTTTACTTTAAGGATACTTTAGAAATTGATATAGAAAAACTGAATTACATTTTTTCTCTTAAAATGCACTAGTGATAATACATAAGATATATAAATATGCAAAAGTTTCTAAAATGCATTTAAACTAACGAAAATTGAAAATCAGCTCTGTGTGAAAACATTTTTGAGTGCCCGTTTGAATAATTTCTTTGATTTATTGCACAAGTAAAAGCTCTCATCATCTCCTTTATATTCACGAGCTATTTTTATGAGTAGTTGTTGATGGCTAGATTAATCTACTGATACATTCAATTTTATGTAAGATCAAAGATCAATCTGATCAAAATACTGGAAAAGTATGGAGGACACTTACTTGAAAGGGTCTGTGACTGATCTCCAATCTATGGAGGAAAACACAGTTGAAAATAATCATCTGGCAAATAAATAGCTTATGCATGCATAACCATAAAGATTACCATTCTATATCAAACCACTTCACCTCTTAGTACAGTCATAGAAGTACATAGGGAACATTCCAGTCCTTAACACGTTTATAAAAAAAATCTTCATAAATTATGTGGGTCTTATTTCATAAAAACTTGACCTTAAAGCAATCTAATTTTTAGTACTCATAAAATTATAGAGAAAAAAAAACCTTACCCACGAACGTTGAAAATCTTTCTCCACTTGTCTAGATCTGCTATTTTGCTGGATATCTCTTCCAGCTCCATTTGGACTGAGCTGCACACATCACTAGATGCTTCCTTGTCCATCTGTTTGCTGCACAAAACTATATATTTTCACCATTAGCGTTAAGCTTCCCAGGACATAACAATACTATATCCTCTTTTATATAATTAGCTATCAGAAATGGTTTGAACCTAGGTTTATACCAAAGAACCTTGCCCCCTTTTCTGTCTTCTCATTACACTTACTGTAAACTTAATACGATTGCATTGCAATTAATCTTTCATTAGAGTTGTACATAGCCCTGTGTTTTCTGCCCATTGTATATATAGCATAAATGTTTAATGTAAGACACAGATTTATATAAAAACAGGCTGCAATTACATACGCATTTCAGGGAAATTGGATCCAGTGAAGAAGATTGACAGATTACTTTCATACCACTGGGCAGGCAGCAGCATATGTGAGGATTAATGCTTTATTCAGTTTGCTTGGTGGAATAAAATGAAACCAAAATTGTGCCTTATAACATGAGTAGCCAGTAGTTTATAAGATAATATAGTGAAAAATTTAACCTGAAGATAATATGATCTTTAATGAATATCCCTTATTGACAGGGATATAGTACATAATATATACAGTTCTACATGACATATATGTTAACATTACACATAATGTTAAAATGTGAACAATGCTGGACTTCTCACTTCCAAATATTAGCAGATTCTTTTTCCCTTGTTTTAGATTAGTTTTAGTTATCTGGCATCTCTGTCAGATCTTTGTTGATGTTTCAAGAAAACTATTTAAATGCTTGATTACCTTAGGTCATCATCTGTAAGATTATATTGATGGTGGTGTTGGTATTGATGATAGAAATAGGTTATTGTACATTTTAAAGTCCAAAACTAGAACAGACATGTATCATGACAACTGAGTTCTTAGATTTATCTAGTAGATGAGTCATCTAGAAAACAAGTTACTGGTGACTAATATGAAGCTGATGCTTAATTATGAAATTGTGAATATATTACATATTTAGTTCTTTATTTTAAAAAGGCAATAAAGCAGCAGGTGCATCAGATCTTCTATCTAATCAAATTTTTTTGTCTAAACATTTTCTGTATTTTCATTGAGTAAAATATACCCTCAAACAATTTGATATGCCTGGATCTGATACCACTATGATTTAATTATTTGCCTGGTGATCCAGTACCAGATGAAGTAACCTAACCCAAAAATGTGGGTGAAGATTCCTGCCCAACACAGGGCAGCATTCAACTCCCCAACTTCTGTTTTGTTGTCACTTTTTCAACCTTGTCAGACAGAATTTTGCCGCATACCTCTCCAGGCACACTTACTCTTATTACCTTTCCCTTTATATGGGGAAACAGTAATGGTATTACTTTCAAGCTTCAGGCACAAATGCAGTCTTTATTCACATGGAACAAGCCACTTCACAAGGAAACCAAGTAAACCACAAGGATTTTTAACAGGTAGGATCTTGGTTATATAGAACTCTTTGGGGATGCTATTCCAGAGGTCAGGTGCCTACTTCCTGGGCCCCATCAGGTAACATTGTTTGACTAATGGGATTTGGAGTATGCCCACTCTGTCCAATTATATAGCATGGGCAGGACATTGGGTATCTTAGAAATGTGTGCATTTGTCTCTAAGTTTGGATTGTCTACAAAATGTTTGTTTGTTTTCTGGCATATGTTTTGGCACAGAAAAGAATAAAGTAAAAATCAATATCTGCAAGGGAATGGGATGTCAGAAGGACATCAACAGCTTTAGGGCTGCCTCTTTGGAACATGTGTCATGGCCCCAAAGGGTGGAACTTACACTGCAGTGCTACAATGCCATTTTCATATAATGAAAGTAATGAGTTTCTATGGAAAGGACAGGACAAGATTATTATGGTGAGCAGTAAAATAAACATCATGAGAAAAGCCTATAATTTCAGAATAAGTAAAGTGGTAATGGCCTTCACTGAATGTCTAGATGAAGCATCACTGGAGTTGTTTTAAAGCATGCTACAAACTCAGATCTGAGCAGTAATTGGAGAGCAAATAATTCTTGCTGTTGCTGTCTATTTGGAAAAAAAATCCAGGAGTACTTGGAATGTCCAACTTGGGAGAGAAGAAATTGTTCTTACTATCTTAGTTTCTTTCTTTGCTGATAAACTTAATGCAAATTTTCTTCATAAATTGGATGAAAAGAGAGACAAATATAGAGCTGCCCAGACTACTCTTGTTCTCATTATTGTGCATGATATCTACAATTTTTTTCCCATTAACTCTCTCTCTATATATCTTACACCCTTCCATGTTGGGCTGTCTCTGCATATAGTGGGAAGCAGAAACACCATACACTGAATGGCACAACCAGGTAGCTGGCCTTGTGTACAGGAACATCTGTACAGAATATGGACTGGGCTGTCCTAAGTCTTGATGGGAGATTCCACAGAAAAAGAAAATAAGAGGGCTAAGGTCCTGTGGCATTTCCAGATCCAGTTCCAGACAGACAAGCAGGTACTGACAATCAATGAGACATTGTGGTAGCAGGTAAAGACCCAAAGATAGCACTGGTGATAGATGTAGCAACAACAGGGAGATAGGAGTATGAGAAACTGGAGAAGTGACAGGGCCTGACGGAGGAACAGGAGAGGATGTAAAAATAAAGGCCAAAGTAGTTTTAGTGGTGGTAGGAACACTATGAATCCTCAGTGGGAGACTATGACTATGAATCCTAAGTGGGAGACGTTCTAACAGATCCCAGGAGTGACAAAATCAGAGCTGTCTGTCCAGAAGAGTACAGTGTTAGGAACAGCTAAGATCCTACACAGAACCTGATAGAGGACCTGAAATTGAGGAAGATACAGTGTAAGGGTAAAAAGGGAATATACACACATAAGGGTAAGAAGGAACACACACACACACACACACACACACACACACACACACACACACCCCTCTGTATACATAGACATATGTACATATAATATACAGCTGGATAGGGTATGGTTAGAAGGCTGCCTTCAGTGTGGGAGAGTGGGGTTCAATCTAACCTATCTTATTTCTCCTTGGGCAGAACCCGTAATGCTTCATTGACCTATATCAAAATAAGAGAGTTACATAATCGGATGTCACCATGATTAACAAGGTTTGCATCTGATGTCTAGGAACCAGAACAGTCTTATGATAAATGAGCTATTGGACCAAGCTATTCATGGACAAGAGAACCAAAAATTGACGGAGTGCCACTATAATAGTAGACCTAATGAGAGGGGATATATGAAATGTATGAGGCAACTATGGAGGAGAGAAAATGTGCATCCACACACTCTGAGAAACAGCTAGTTACCCAGTGCTTCAACATAGTGAAGAGGAAGATACTCTCACAATTTGAGATAGACCTACTACACATTACATCCCATATTCAAGAAGAACAACTGGATGTACAGCCAACCTCTGAAGTTGGAACATCACTAGCACCGTCTCCATTACAGAGCACAACAGATGATATGAGGCATAAGATCATAGATAAACTAGCTACAATCAACCCATGAGACCAGTTACCAAGAGTCAGAGAGAAGTACCATCAGGCCTTCACAACAATCCCTACTGCCACAATAACTTAAACCAATACATTATAACTGCTGTCATTCTGGATATGCTTAACCACACAATAAAGAAGAACAGCAGTACAAACCTCTCCAGAAAATGAGGTTGGAGGCTAAAATAAGGCAACTCAGAGAGTTGTTAGTAACTGGTGGAATTACAGAAAGGTATGAAGATAAGACTTGAGTACTGAAAAAAATACTGACTCTATTTTAAGCCCTCAAGATTGCTAAACAAAGGCTCACAGCAGTGGCTACAAGGCTAGGAGATACATTAGAGAAACAGAGGTCAAGATAAATGTCTTGTTCTCCCTAGAACCATCCAAGGTGTATTCCCAACTGTAGGGTAATAATATAGTAACAGCAGTGTCACCAACAGCAGTTAGCCTAAGCACACAATCATTCCTTTAAATTAAATGGACTATATAAATATTGGTTTTATACTCACACTCCCTTTCCTGCTCACTGTTAGAGAGATTTCTATTTGCTGTTTACTGTGGCATTGCAACCAATTATTCAAACCGTCTTCATTTTTAGCTTCTCTTTCTTCTTTCTCAACTACTCCATTGATTTTCCTACTTGCCAATTGATGTCCAAGGAAGGGACCAAAATTCTCTATCTCCATTCTGCTAAAAGCTACATCTGCATTTTCATCATAAATTACCACCAGTCTTTAATGTTCACTGGAGTGTTGTCTGGCCATGTGTGGAGTTTTCACCCTCCCCTTCGTTTCTGTGGAAATGTCAACACTTTCCTCACCTTTCAGATTTATATTGAGCAATATAGCAATAGGTAAATAATATTGTTTACTATTACTGTTCATCTACATTTCCCAATTACTTCCTCTTTGCAGAACATGTCTAAGGAATGCAGAAATAAACTTCATTTCAATTGTAAAATGAAAAAAGGTTTGACAACGTAATCTGATAAAATCATCTCTAGTTAGACAGCAAACTCAACATTCTAGCAGTCTCAAACTAATGACTTAGTTCACTGCTTTCTAGGAAATGCTTGCTTGCAAACAAGCCTTGATTTTTCAAATTCCATGACAAGATGCAGTATCAATTGTTTGAAGTAATGTAGGAAAATTAATAGCTAACTTCTTAGGGATTGTTGCCACTCACAGATAAACCAATGGTTATTTCAGGGTATATGATTTGAAAGTGGTTGCAATCACCTCCAGTCCTGCTACTATAACTACATATGATATTTTAGCTATTTTTTTTTGTGGCGCCTGGCAAAAACTCTTTGAAAGAAACACTTCTAGCCTCTTGCTAAAGCAACATATTTTATCTTGGCCTGCAGTAGAAAATGAGGAAAAGAAAATGGATTTCAAAAAAAGGAGAGAATGATACTCCCACTATTTCTTATTCTAGTTCCTGTTTCAGCCCTACACCAACATGTGATGTCACTATAAAGAAATTTATCCTCTGGGAAATCAGTCCTCAGTAGAAAATGAGCATCCCTCAGCTCTAATACAAGAGCTGTTTTAAGGCTCTGCTATCAGTATAGTGCTTCTGATTTGGTAATAAGCCTAATGAGATGAGATAATAATGGGGGACAAGATTCTCTAAAATACAACTTCATCACAGTATTGATTTTCGTTTGTCCTGTTTAGCCACAGGAAGTTGGCAGAACTTGAATGATTAGAGTAGAGATAGGAGCTTTTAATTCCCTCATTGTAAAGTCCTATGTCTACTAAATTTGGCAGAATAACGGACTGTTTACTTCATTCTGATACAATAACTTCATTTCCATGATTTTGTGGCAATAGTTCAGGAAAGAGGGAACAATACAGCTAGTTTGGACTAAGTGGCTAAGACATCAAAATAGGTACCGGGAAATTGTGTATTTGAGCCCTAGTTTAGGCATGAAAGATAACTTTGGGTCAGTCACCCTCTCTCAGCCCAACCCACCTTACAAAGTTGTTGTGGGAAAATAAGAGGATGAAGGACTATTAGACATGTTTGCCTCTTTGAATTGTTTAGAAAACTAATAAACCTGGGATATATATATATATATATATATATATATATATATATATATATATATATATATATGAATATTAAAAACAAAATAGTGATTCCTGGGTAGATTCATGTTAAATAATAAAATATACGAACACCAGGAAGTTATAAAACTATAAAAAGTTTTAATAGAATAAAACCAGAATAAAACTAAGCTTTCGCTGGCTTCTGCCAGCATCATCAGGGTAGCGTCCAGTCAATGGAAGAAGCTATTTATAAATGTGGCGTTCTTTGCACCCGGCTTCTTGACCTCGTCATAGGTCCCAGCCAATCCACCTGCGTTTTGATTGTAGTTTCTGTATTGCAAGCTGTAATTTCCTCACTCTCCTTGCTTGTGCCGATACCACAGCTCTTCCTCCCTTCTTCGTGTGACTGTAAGTCAGGGGGACTCTTTAATTCTACGTAGTTAAATGTGCATTGTCTGTGTTTATGTTGTTTATTCCCCTCATCCTCCCTCTTAGTATTGTCTATTTTCGTTCTCCTCCACCTACTCTCTGTCTACGATCCTCCTTCACAACTACATCCTCATTGTTCATCTTCGTAGCCCAGGATTCCATTGTGTTCGTATCATCCTGTTTCCTGATCTTTCGTGTCGCTTTGTTACCTTTCCTTTCTATTTTCTCTTCAATGGGGGTGATTTTAACATCCTCCCTGGAGTTCGTGGCACCCACAAGTTGATTGTTAAACCCTTCTCCCAAGGGGGCTGTTCCCTCACTGTTGTTTATACATTCATCCATTACTTGGGGTGTGCAACCCTCTTTAAAGGGAGAGAGGCGGGATCCTTGCGATCATGATTTGCATCTCCTTGTACATTCCTACAGGGGGTCGTTCCTCTCAAATGTCTGTGGGAGCATGTGTAGGCTCTAAGATTATAACAAACAGCCTCCCCATCTTCCCGTAGTTCTCCTGCATTCCCAAGGCGAGAGCAGCTCAATAGGGAAATGTCATGGGCGGAGTTAGTTGCAGAGTCACCGGTGGAGTTACAAGTGACATTCCGATCATTCGAATCATGGTTATTTAATAGTCCGGAGTCCGTAAATGATCGTTTCTTTGCCAAACTCCTCGCTGTTCCTGGGGAGATCCTCGATTCACCGGCAGTTGGCTCTTGGTTATCAATATGCTCCTGCGCCCATGGGAGATCGGCATATGTTTCCGCAGGTGGAGAGTTACTCAGCTGCTGATTATTCCCTATCCAGACATTTCCAAGGCTCGTCTCCTCCGTCAACCCTCCTTGCTGAAGGGACGTTATAATATTACATTGTTTTCCTCTGGAGGGACGGTCACGCATTGCCCATGCTCTTAATGTTACGTGTGCTGGGCATAGGTCCACATGTCGGTTGATGGATTCTTCGTTGGAGAGCCAAGCTTCTTTAAGGAGCCGGGCCCCCTTCGTGTTATCACTGGCCATCACCTGCACATTATGGACGCTACCCTGATGATGCTGGCAGAAGCCAGCGAAAGCTTGGTTTTATTTATTAAAACTTTTTATAGTTTTATAACTTCCTGGTGTTCGTATATTTTATTATTTAATATATATATATATATATATTCTAATTAGATGGGAAAGGTTCAGGACCCTGGACAGTACCATTGGCTTTAGGGATTCTTGAATGATGTTTATTAAGAGTTATGACAGGTGATCCTGCAGGAATCCTAAGGAACTGTAAAGAAAGAGACAAATAAGCCCAATACAACTTTGGTAGGTAGATTTTTATATTTTGGGCAGAATAATCCTTCTCAGAACCACAGAATTGAATTTGCTTCTTTAAAAAGCCAGCACTTGGTTTTTTTCTGCAGCTGTCAAGGGACCTTCCAAACCTCAAAATGTTTCCATTCTGAATTCCATTTATTTTGATTAATAACTTCCTAGGATTCTCAGCTTGAGATTCCCTTAGATTTCCTAGCATTTTTAGTCTGAATCCACAACAAAACTCAGGTGTTCTTTCATCTGAAAAGTCCTCAAAATGTTGGGACAGAAGCATTAGTGAGCAGCTGAAAGAAGGTCACCTTGACATAATACTATTTCCATATTGCCGGGCTGGGGAGAAGAACATTTTTATTAGTCTACTTTTTATAAAGAGTCATTCTTTTGGCATTCATATGAGTAAAGAGCAAGCTAATATTTTTTTTTTGTCTTGGTTTATTTGCAAGGCTGTAATAAACCAAGTCCCCTTTATGGATTACTGCCTTGTCGTGGCGAAGGGACTTGCGTAACTCAATGAAGCTATAAGCTATGCCGTGCAGGGCCACCCAAGACGGACAGGTTATAGCAGAGAGTTCTGACAAAATGTGATCCACTGGAGAAGAAAATGGCAAACCACTCCAGTATCTTTGCCATGAAAACCCCATGGACAGTACTAAAAGGCAAAAAGATATGACGCTGGAAGATGAGCCCCTCAGGTCAGAAGGTGTCCAATATGCTACTGGGGAAGAGCAGAGGGCTAGTACTAGTAGCGCCAGAAAGAATGAAGCGACTGGGCCAAAGCCGAAAGGACGCTCAGCTGTGGATATATCTGGTGGTGAAAGGAAAGTCTGATGCTGTAAAGATTTTTTCTCCATAGGAACCTGGAATGTAAGATCCATGAATCAAGGCAAGCTAGACGTAGTCAAAAAAGAGATGACAAGACTGAACATCGACATCTTAGGAATCAGCGAACTAAAATGGACAGGAATGGGTGAATTTAACTCAGATGACCATCAGGTATACTACTGTGGGCAAGAATCCCTCAGAAGAAATGGAGTAGCCTTCATAGTCAATAAAAGAATAGGAAAAGCAATACTGGGATACAATCCTCAAAATGACAGAATGATCTCAATTCGAATCCAAGGCAAACCATTCAATATCACAGTAGTCCAAATCTATGCCCCAACCACTGGTGCTGAAGAGGATGAAATTGACCGGTTCTATGAAGCCCTACAGCACCTTATAGAATTAACACCAAAAAATGATGTCCTTATCATCATGGGGGATTGGAATGCTAAGGTAGGAAGCCAAAAGATAACTGGAATAACAGGCAAGTTTGGCCTTGGAGTACAAAATGAAGCAGGGCACAGGCTAATAGAATTTTGTCAAGAGAATACGATGGTCATAACAAATACTCTTTTCTAACAACCCAAGAGATGGCTCTACACATGGACATCACCAGACGGTCAACATAGAAATCAGATTGACTATGTGCTCTGCAGCCAAAGATGGAGAAGCTCTATACAGTCAGTAAAAACAAGACCAGGAGCTGACTGTGGCTCAGATCATGAGCTTCTCGTTGCAAAATTTAGGCTTAAATTGAAAAAAGTAGGGAAAAGCACTAGGACACTCAGGTATGAACTAAATCATATTCCTGATGAATATACAGTAGAGGTGACAAATAGATTTAAGGAATTAGATCTGATAGACAGAGTGCCTGAAGAACTATGGATGGAAGTTCGCAACATTGTACAAGAGGTAGCAACTAAAACCATCCCAAAGAAAAAGAAATGCAAGAAAGCAAAATGGCTGTCTGAGGAAGCTTTGCAAATAGCTGAGGAAAGAAGGGAAGCGAAAGGCAAAGGAGAAAGAGAAAGATACACCCAATTGAATGCAGAATTCCAGAGAATAGCTAGAAGAGATAAGAATGCCTTCTTAAATGAACAGTGCAAAGAAATAGAAGAAAACAACAGAATAGGGAGGACCAGAGATCTCTTCAAGAAAATTGGAGATATGAAGGGAACGTTTCATGCAAAGATGGGCATGATAAAGGACCAAAATGGCAGAGACCTAACAGAGGCAGAAGAGATTAAGAAGAGATGGCAAAACTACACAGAAGAACTATACAAGAATGAGCTTAACATCCCAGATAACCACAATGAGATGGTCATTGACCTCGAACCAGACATCCTAGAATGTGAAGTCAAATGGGCCTTAGAAAATCTGAGCAACAACAAAGCTAGTGGAGGTGACAGTATTCCAGCTGAGCTATTCAAAATCTTAAAAGACGATGCAGTAAAAGTGCTACATTCAATTTGCCAGCAAATTTGGAAAACTCAACAGTGGCCACAGGATTGGAAAAGGTCAGTTTACATTCCAATTCCAAAGAAAGGCAATGCCAAAGAATGTTCAAACTATCGCACCATTGCACTCATTTCACATGCTAGTAAAGTTATGCTTAAAATCCTACAAGCTAGACTCCAGCAGTATGTGGATCGAGAACTACCAGAAGTACAGGCAGGATTTCGAAGAGGCAGAGGAACTAGAGATCAAATTGCCAACATACGCTGGATCATGGAGAAAGCTAGGGAGTTCCAGAAAAACATCTACTTCTGCTTCATTGACTATGCTAAAGCCTTTGATTGTGTGGATCACAACAAATTGTGGCAAGTTCTTAAAGAGACGGGAGTACCAGACCATCTCATTTGTCTCTTGAGAAACCTATATGCGGGTCAAGAAGCAACAGTGAGAACCGAACACGGAACCACTGATTGGTTCAAAATTGGAAAAGGAGTCCGGCAAGGCTGTATACTGTCGCCCTGCCTATTTAACTTATATGCAGAGCACATCATGAGAAAGGCAGGGCTAGATGAATCAAAAGTTGGAATTAAGATTGCCGGGAGAAATATCAACAACCTAAGATATGCAGATGATACCACTCTAATGGCAGAAAGTGAAGAGGAACTAAAGAGCCTTTTGATGCGGGTGAAGAAGGAGAGTGCAAAAGTTGGCTTGAAACTCAACATTAAGAAAACCAAAATCATGGCATCCGGCCCTCTCAATTCCTGGCAAATAGATGGGGAAGAAATGGAGGTAGTGACAGATTTTATTTTTCTGGGCTCAAAGATCACCTCAGATGGGGACTGCAGCCAAGAAATTAAAAGACGCTTGCTCCTGGGGAGGAAAGCTATGGCAAATCTAGACAGCATTCTAAAAAGCAGAGACATCACCCTGCCAACAAAAGTGCGTATAGTCCAGGCCATGGTTTTCCCAGTTGCAATGTATGGCTGTGAAAGTTGGACCATAAGAAAGGCTGAGCGCAAAAGAATTGAGGCCTTTGAACTATGGTGCTGGAGAAGACTCCTGCGAGTCCCTTGGACTGCAAGGCGTTCAAACCGGTCAGTCCTAGAAGAGATCAACCCCGACTGCTCTTTAGAAGGCCAGATCCTGAAGTTGAAACTCAAGTACTTTGGCCACCTAATGAGAAGGAAGGATTCACTGGAGAAGAGCCTAATGCTGGGAAAGATTGAGGGCAATAGAAGAAGGGGACGACAGAGAATGAGATGGCTGGATGGAGTCACTGAAGCAGTAGGTGTGAATTTAAATGGACTCCAGAAGATGGTAGAGGACAGGAAGACCTGGAGGAACGTTGTCCATGGGGTCGCGATGGGTTGGACACGACTTCGCAATTAACAACAACAACAACAATAAACCAAGAAATCTTGAGGAATATCTATGAGAATTTCATCAGCTTTGTAATACAATTGTACTATTGATTTACTCTGATAAAATGTGAGTTTATATCTTTGGCCAAAATGCACCATTATTTCTTTACCAAACTACATTGGTTATACTGTATTTGTATGATGAGCCTATTTATGGTTAACAGTGGTTTAATAAATAACCCAACTGCCGATATTGAACCATAAACCTGAATATATGGGTGGAATTCACACATTATTTTATTATTTTTACAACAATTTTATTGAAGTTTGCAAATTCAAAGATAAAAGACTAATACAAACTAAGAAAAATATAAAAAGAAAAGAAAAAGTGCAAAGTGATTGAAAAAAGATGAGAAAAATCAAATATATAAAAGATGGTTCCCCTCTCCCTCTAGACCAGGCATGTTAAACTCGTGATGTCATGTGACGTCGCGCAACATATTGGGCCGGTTTTGCCATTGCCGGCAATGAGGTGGGCGCAGCTTCCACGTGCGTCCGGCCCATGGGCCGGTAGTTTTACATCCCTGCTCTAGACGATTTCAGTAACTTAACACCTTCTCTTGTATTTCAGTTAAAAAATCCTCTTCTTCCCATATCTTAGGCATTAAACAAATTATAAAAACTCATCATTCAGTTCTAATCAGCAAAAGTCTATTAAGAGATATCAGAAATATTAACACACCTTTTTAACCTTAATAAAAAAAAATCCCTTTTGAAATCTAATATTGTTCTCTAAGAAACAAAGTGAAAAGTCTTTCAACTTATAAAGAGATCCTTACAGCCTCATCATTCAATCCTGGTAAAAAAGAAATCCCATCAATTTGCTTTGTACATATTCTGTTTACTTTTAAAAAGTTTCATCCTTATTCCCATTAAGTAATGTCCCACAGGTTGATTTCTTAGCATTTTCTCTTATATCTCCTCTCAGAAACAGTTTCCTTTGTTTCATACATTCTTTTTAGAAATCTGAGATAAGAAGCCCTTCCACATTTCTCTTTATTATTATTATTATGTATTATTTGTATGTATCTTTAATTATTAAGATATCAGCTGAGCTTATTTGTAAATCATTTTATCATCTTTTTCTATATCACTCTTAAACTCTGGCATTTTGAAATCCATTTTCACATCTACAGCATCTTTTTTCATATCATTTTTGTAATCCAGCATCTTGTTTGAATTCCTATTCTATACTCAAATCTGCATCTCTGTTTTATCCAATAAAATTTGTTGCTTTTCTATAGTACTTCACTACAAGCTAAACTTCCTGAATTCACACCTGGCTAAATTGTTTCCCAAAACAATAAGGCTTTGCTATGTTCAGACCAACAATAGAAGTATGTCATTTACTTAATCAGTTTTTGTTGTATTTAGACTTATATTTGGTTGTTTTAACATTTATTATCTAGTCTTGGACTGCAATTCAATATTTATTGATTGATTGGTTTTTAGTTTGTAGTTTAGCATGATGTGTAGCCTCTGACATTATGATTTAGCATGTTATAGGAACCAGGCTATTGTTTTTCTTGAGATATGCTTTATGACAACCTTTTCCAATATGGTACCATTCAGATGTGTTGTCTCTAATTGTTATTATACTACATAGCCCAGTTATCTTAGGATAATACAGCATGGTGATTTTCTGATATAGGTATTGGGATATGCTGGGGAAAGAAATAAATTGATACACAAAAATATATGAAGATGTCCATGTATGCATTTTGGAAATAGCACCAGCTATTGGAACTAAAATCGTAAACATGAGAATAAATGTGGAATAACAGAATAACAGGACAAAAGAAAAATAAGATAAAAATTACAGAGATATACTGACCAAAATTTCTTGTAACACATAATACTAACATATAAGATGAATTAGAATAAGTTCGAGCACAGATATTTTATTTTCTTCTGTTTTGAGCATTTTTTCTACTGACAATTATTTGAAGTTATAGGGCATAACAGATAGTATTTATTTATGAAGCATAAAATTCCATATGAGAAAGATCAGATCTGAAAATTAAAATAAACATTTTAATAAGAAAAGAAAGATATCACAACTTTACTGTATGCATAGTTAGTACATATGGGGCCAGCGCTCTCAAATATGACATTAAACAGAAGGTACAAATATCTTTGGTAGTTCATAAAAAAGTATTTCAGTTAAAAATTAATTATAGAACATTAATTTCTAACAGAAATGCTTTCCTATAGAATAGAAATAACACAGCATGGCACACTATAGATGTTGTCAATGAACACAAGCTGCTTGAGAACTACAGAAGGGATCCATTTATGGTTAATTCTCCCTTTGTGAAAAGAAATTTCTTTAAGGTGAGTTGAAAATACTGGATGCCAATTATAATATCTGATTTCAAATTGGCACTTTTCATTTTTATTGGAAATGTTGATTTATTCTTGATTTTGCACACAATTTTTCATCTTTAAAAATTTCAGCAGCTCAGTTTTGAAAATCTCTGTGACTTGCTGCTAAAATATTGGTTTATGGCTAGATGTGTTCCATTTTAATTCTTGAACCGTTAGTTCTTTGAAATAAAAGCTGAGATGGTTGCACATACTTCAAATATATTTCAAAGTATGTACAATACTTTGAAGTATTGACAATACCTCTAAACAAACACTATTGAACATAATTTGCAAATAGGAAATAAGTAGGTTCTGTTATAGATTGCTGCAAGTATTCTGTTTCACATTCTTTTTGTATTGCTATGATGAAAAGTGATAATCTAATGAAAATAATATTACTGATTAAAGCCCTGTTTGCTTGTACCTTGTGTATGTTTTTGCCTCAAAATACACTTGTAAAAACCAATCTTTTAAATATGTGTAAGCTTTGCATCTTTTGAAAAAAGAAAGCCAAGGTGAATTATTTGCATAAATCAAGATTTAAGGTGTTTAGTACATTAGATCCATTGCTCCATTTGGTGCCTCAGAATTTTTTGATTTCGAAAAAGGAAACTCAAATCCAGTCAAGCGTATAAGCAGAATGTTCATAAAGTGTACTAATGAACACACCAGGATGATCCAGAAGGATTTTGCAAACTGCTCACTGTGAGTTTTAAAAATAAAACTTCCTTCTTTATAATTAGCTATTTTTTCAGAGAGATGGTGGATTTTGACTTCTGAAGAAAACAGTATCAAAATAAGAAAGCCACAAGAAACTGAAAAAAAAAAGAAATGCAAAATTAATATTTGGACAATTTTTCAACCTAATTTTGCAACATTTGTTGTTATAGTTCAACATTTAAAAATTAGCTGTCATGCCTACTTTTTTCTCTGAGAGGTTGGGTCCCAGTTGAATCCAATAATTAATAAGAACAGATAATTATAACTTGCTTTTGCTCCATTTCTTCTCCATCTTTTCTCTAAATAAATCAGTTTAAAATCCACACTCAACTGAGTTTCACCTGGTCTGTATAGCTTGCCAGCTTCATCTGACAAACCCCTTAATTTGCTTTATTTGGTACTTACTTGGATTAAAATGAGTGTTCTAATCCTTGTATTAAAGGATGAACATGCTAATTTTAGGTTTTTTCTTCTTTATAAATTAAATAAAGCTCCCCCAAATCTGTTTGTACATGAAAAATAAAACTTATTAATCTGCTGGAATGGTAATATTTGTTGAACTATTTCTTTCCCACTGGTTATAAAGCAACTGTGCTTGTTGAGCTAATTCTATTCCTTGTTGCTTGAGACAGACATAAATAGCTCTTTCTTCTAAGAGCAAAAACAGAGATCTGGTGTGTACTATGTATGCACCAGATCTCTGTTCAAAGACTCTTCAGAAAGGTAATTAGGAATTTTTGCACCCATCTAGAAGATGCTTCCAGCATCCCACAGTGCAAGTTGGTCCAAAATGTTGCATAGTCCTATGCCAGTATCTGGAAGCTGTAAGGATCTGGATGGGTTGCAATGGGTTTCGATTCAATCCAAGCTAGAATGAGTGTTTTGGATATTTGGTAAGGTTTTTCCACTGTTGGTCTTGGATGGGTTGGTCCACTCTGCCCCAGATGGACCATGTGGCTCTTGCTAGAAGAGCAGGTGATAGATGTGGCCAGAAGGACTTTTGCACATCTTAAGGTTGTGTGCCAGTTGCATCAATTCCTGGATCAGGAAGCTTTGCTCACAGTTACTCATTTCCTTGTAATCTCTCATCTGTAATCTCTGCTGTAGCCCCTGCCTTCTGGAACATTCTTCCCTCAGAGATTAGCATGACCTGATCCTGTTGGCCCTTTGTAAGACATGAAGACCTCATTCCCCCCCCCAATGTTTTCCACCCATTCATCATTTTAGTTATACTGATGTATTCATTGTGTTTTTTGTAATTGTTTATTTTATTGCTTTATTATTCACTACTGTTCTATTCACTGAAGCAGTAGGCGTGAGCTTAAATGGACTCCAGAAGATGGCAGAGGACAGGAAGACCTGGAGCAATGTTGTCCATGGGGTCACGATGGGTCAGATATGATTTCGCAACTAACAACAACACTGTTCTGTTTCCACTCCTTTAATTTTTATTCCTTTTTGTCATTGTAAGCTGCCTAGAATAACCCTGCAACAAGATAGGCAGCAAATAAAAGTTAACAAATGAATTGTATGCCTAGGTCTCTGGCCTCAGTGTGTAAGAGGTCCATTTCTTGGTTATATTAAAAATCATGGCAATGGTTTTACTCAGTGACCATATTTATTAATTTTGTATTGTTTTTAATTACTTTATGATATACATTGTCCAAAGTCACTTGTCCTGCATAGAACTCAAAGCTATAGAAATCAAATAAATAAACAAATAAGCATTCTGTTTTAGCAATGTTTAGTTTTATAATTTTATAATGATTTTAATGCTGTTTTAACTTTTGTTTGGGAGCTGTCTAGAGTTGGTTATAATATGAGTAGCTATATTAATATTTTAAACAAATAAATAAATGAACTTACATTCCCAATACCTATTCCTGCCTTGGATTGATCCCTGGCTGTATGATGTGTGTGTGTGTGTGTGTGTGTGTGTGTGTGTGTATGTGTATATGTATGTAGGTGTGTGTGTGTGTATGTATATATATATATATATATATATATATATATATATATATATATATACCCAAGGATTTACATACACATGGGAATGAAGGATTTATTCAGAAAGTGGTAAGCAAAGCATGCCTGATTGTAGAAAGTTTTTCAATTTCCATGTAGAATGTGCAAGAATCTTAATCAATATATGCTCCTGAAGCAGGTGCTAGAAAGTTTAAATAATGAAAATGGTTTTATTTAGGGATACAGTTTTGAGGTTATATAACTCAGAGCTGTTTTAAACTATGGTTTATTTTAAATTCAAGTTGGATTTTGCTTGCTAATTTATAGTTCTGTTTTGTCTAATTTTTTGCCAATTTTATATAACCCATTTTGCTCATTTTGTAAAATTGTTGGGTATAAAATTATGTTTTAATTTCTAGTACATGTAACTAGTAATAGTAATAGTAGTAAAGTTGGAAGGGACCTTGAAGGTCATCTAGTCCAACCCCCTGCTCAGGCAGGAAACCCTACACCATTTCGGACAAATGGCTGTCCAGTCTCTTCTTAAAAACTTCCAGTGTTGGAACATTTACTGCTTCTGGAGGCAAGCTGTTCCACTGATTAATTGTTCTCACTGTCAGGAAGTTTCTCCTTAGTTCTAGGTTGCTTCTCTCCTTGATTAGTTTCCACCCGTTGCTTCTTGTCCTGCCTTCAGGTGCTTTGGAAAATAGCTTAATTCCCTCTTCTTTATGGCAGCCCATGAGATATTGGAATACTGCTATCATGTCCCCCCTTGTCCTTCTCTTCGTTAAACTAGACATACCCAATTCTCGCAACCGTTCCTTATATGTTTTAGCCTCCAGTCCCCTAATCATCTTTGTTGCTCTTCTCTGTACTCTTTCTAGAGTCTCAACATCTTTTTTACATTGTGGTGACCAAAACTGGATGCAGTATTCCAAGTGTACTGTTCTTTTTATAGCTATTTTAAATGTTTATAGCTTCTCAAACTCTCAACTTCCAGCAGTGCTATGGTCGGTTCATTGTTTAGGACTAGTTGTTCTTAGACTGTTGCTGAAATCTCACAATCCAAGCATAGTTCTATGTTGATGGTATAATCACTAAGTGAACCCATTACCCCTATGAGAATAGAATAGAGCAGGAAGGGACCTTGGAGGTTTTCTAGTCCAGCCCCCCGCTCAAGCAGGAGAACCTATACCATCTCAGACAAGTGACTGTCCAGTCTCTTCTTAAAAACTCCAGGGATGGAGCACCCACAATTTCTGAGGGCAAGCTGTTCCACTGGTTAATTGTCCTCACTGTCAGGAAATTTCTCCTTAATTTCAGGTTGCTTCTCTCTTTGATTAGTTTTCAACCATTGTTTCTTATCCTGCCCTCTAGTGCTTTGGAGAATAATTTGACCCCCTCTTCTTTGTGGCAGCCTCTCAAATACTGGAATACTGCTATCACGTCACCCCTATTTCTTCTTTTCTTTAGACTAGCCAAATCCAGGTCCTGCAGCTGTTCTTCATATGTTTTATTAAAAAATACTAAAAAGAAGGGAAGGGAAGGTTGACTGCTCATACTAGATGTAGATGTTGAGGTTGTAACACAAAACATGTCAAAATATCAAATTAGATTGCATGTGATGATGACAACATATTGAGTAGAAAACATCAGTTTAAAAAGAAAAAAAATCTATTTTTTCATATAAAAAAAATGAATAACCAGCAAAAAAATATTTGGGAACATACTTTGAATAACTGCCTACCTCAACTTAAACGAAAATCTGGTAAACGCATTTACAGAGATATATCTACATGCCAAAGTATTACTGAACTTACCTGAAATGAAACTCCACAGGTAGAGTCCTAATGGACCATGTAAAGTTTCATAAGGATTGCCAAATGCATTGTACATGAAGAAGCCGGTTGCAATCAGTGCAAAAACGAATAATGCCAAGCAAAAGAGGATGACACTTACATGGATACTTGCAGGCATAATTTTGAATAAATCTGGAAAAACTAACAGAGTGGAAAAATATTTATAAAACCTGGAAAAATAACACAGAAAAATATTTATTCATTTATTTATCTTTGACATTGTATATTGCCTCATCAATCATTGTGGCAGGAACAAGGAATTATTATCAACGTGGAAGAAATCTCAGTAAGCAAGGCAAGATGTTTTTGTATCTTATTTATAATTGAGGATTGAAATTAAATAGAAGTAAAACTGATACCGACATAGAGGACATGCTGACAATATTTATGTTTTAATACATATCCATTTTCTGAGAAGACTTTGCAAATTAAATGTAGTTTGGCATCATTTAGCTTCCTTTTGTTTCATTACTGGAGCAAAGCTCACATATTCCAACCTGACTGAGGCACATCAATCAGCCAATCAGCATTCACATGCATTTCATACATTTCCTAACATGATGCCTTCCAGAAGGGCTAGACTTCAGTCCAAAAATTCTACCAGCAAAGCCATATATGGACAATGTTGTTTATTTTCTCCAGGCTACTCTCCATTATTTAATTTATAGGTACCCCTCAACTTAATAACAGTTCATTTAGTGAACATCTGAAGTTATAACGACACTGAAAAAAGTGATTCATGACCATTTCTCCACACTTATGACCGCCATGGTAACATGATCAAAATTCAGATGTTTGGCAACTGACTCATATTTATGAAGGTTACAGTGTCCCGGCGACATGTGATCGCCTTTTGCAACCTTCTGACAAGCAAAGTCAATGGGGGAGCCAAATTCACTTAACAACCTGGTTTATAACTTCACAACTGCAGTGATTTACTTAACAACTGTGGCAAGAAAGGTCGTAAAATGGGGCAAAATTCACTTAACAACAATCTTGCTTTCTTGACACAGTTGTTCAGTGAATCACTGTAATTGTTCAGTTAGTAACATGGTTATTAAGTGAATCTGGCTTCTTCATTGATTTTGCTTATCAGAAGGTTGCAAAAGGTTTTCTCATGACCAAGAAACTGCAACTGTCATAAATACATGCCAGTTGCCAAGCATCTGAATTTTGATCACATGACCACAGGGATTATGCAACAGTTCTAAGTGCAAAAAAACCCTCACTTGTAATAACTTTTTACAATGTTGCCCTTATAACTTTGAATGGTTGCTCATTGAATGCTTGTAAGTCAAGCATAGTTTAATTTCCTAATGATTTAATACAGGATGCATTCTACAGATGGTGTTTTTGTTTGTGAATCATATCCTAATTTGGTTCAGCCTTATTAAACATATTGTATATTAATATACAGTATAGTAAGCAAATGCACTATTTATCTAAAATATATATAGTCACATAATGGCTCTAAAGGCATTGTACAAGTAGATAACTACTTAGGCAGAATAGTTTGTGAGTTAATCTTTCTACTGATTTTTAAATACCTCTGCTGAGTTAGCCACAACAGATATTTTAGAATGATTTGTAGAAGATAAGATAACTGCTCCTAGTCCCCAGGGGTATGATTAAACTGATGCTAATAACTCCTTAGAATTGCTTGTCTGTGGTTAAAACATGCTGAGAAAAAGCAATGTAGGTACTGCAAATAAATTTATATAACATGTATAATATAAATTATCTGCAACTATCTAATTCAGTCCACTGGGTCAAGATTCATGTATTTCATCTTAATATTATAATTTCCTGGTGGAGTTATGGTGCTATAGGGTTTAAAATGCAGATTTCTACAGCATTCCCTTCTTAGAAACGAAGCTCCAATATTGAATATTGCAAATTAGATCATTGGCCGGAGTGCGAGGCTTGGACGTACTGGTGTAAAAACATTAATTACTTTTTCATTTACAAGCCTAATTCAATGGTCTGTCTTGATCTTAATCTCTAAAATCTGTGTAAGTTTGGATCCAGCTATCCGACTCGGAAGGACAATGTCTTCTCTGACAAGCCTGCATGAGCATGTCAGATCGTTATCAAACCTTTGTCTCCAAGCTTTTGCTCTTCAAGAGGCAAGACACGTACTAAGTGAAAAAATAGTTCTTTCAGATATGCTCTCCCAAAAGATTTGTGTGACACCATTTTGTTCCTTTTTCACACAATTCCTTGTTTTGAATCTCTTCTGAAAATTGTTTCTGTTGTTGGTTTTTTTTCTATTTGATTTATAAGTTTCTGGGAGATTTAGTTTAACCTGAAGAGCAGCATCTTCTTTAAACATTTCTCTCTTTTTACAACATTAAAAATGTGAATTACTTTAAACCTTCATAATAGCAATGAAGTGCAAAATGGATAAGATCGGTGCTATCCTATCACTTCTGCATTCAACAGCTAATCAAGATATGTAGAATATAACAATAAATCATTGGAATGTCTTGCCTTCAAAAGTTCTGGGTGCTCCATCACTGGAGACTTTTAAAAAGAGACTGGACAACTATTTGTCTGAAATGGTATAAGGTCTCCTACTTGAGCAGGGGGTTGAACTAGAAGACCCCCAAGATCCCTTCCAACTCTATTATTCTGTTCTGTACTAGCAGAAATAAATAAAATAAATAAAGTCACAAAATGTATTCAATTGTGGGTAAGGATAAACAAAAGAGTCTTTTGATTGACTTAGTAAAAAGCAGGTGAAGTTTTATTTAAATAAAAGATTTTAGAATCATAATTATGCATTTGCACACTTCTCTGGAAATAAGGCAACTGGGTAAAGAGGCTATTGCCGATGAGGGATAAAACATTGGACACTGCGATATCTATTTCAAGTGGTCTTTCTTGGTTTAAGCAATTGTACGCCTTTCAAGGGCACAGAGTTCCATCTTATAGAGGATAATTGTTCAAACCTTAAGTTAATCAAATGTTTAAGGCATCTAGTTTTACAGCATATGCCTATGAAAATATCCTACTTTAGAGGCATATCCAAAGATTTACACTATGATGATGTTGGGAATTTCAGTGGTTTGTCATAGTCTAATTTATTTTGAAATAAGTAATGAGCTGGAGGTAGCAGAATTCACAAAGCAACACAGCTTAACTAAAAACTTCAAGCTAAGCACTCAATAACTGACTTCGAGAATTTGGCCTTCTAAATGTATTTGGACTTTCTCCCACCGTACCAAGCTAGAATTTAGGTTGCCACACATTGTGGTATCTGTAGTCTTATCATACAATTAAAGCAACATATAAACGTAGTTTATGAAGAGTTCCATATTATGGAAGGCTATGCTCGTGAGTAAACATAGTGGTAATCATGAACAAACCTGTTTTGAACTGCAATGCATATTGTGCAAAAATGTGCATAATATACATGTAAATCACAAAAGGTCATTTTTTTTGATAGCCAGTGTGAATTTTTTTACGAATTACAATACTTACACTTGACGTCATGCCACACTAGCCACCTATTTCTCTCCACAGCTACATTTAAATTTTTTATATATAATTAAAATTTATAGCTGACCATGTAATAAAATTTAATCCTGCAACAATGTTGCCTTAGAAGCAAAGCCACTTTTAACAGTGAGGAATAAATCTGAACGCTAATGGCCTTTTAGAAAATGAACTGCTGACCCAGAAACTGACAAAAGTCAGAGGAAACGAAGCAGAAGGCTCTCTTTGAGACTGCATGGGTTTTACAAACAGAGCAAATTCATTTTACAATATATATATATATCTCATGACATACAGGGACTCACTGCACTGAAATGCAAACACAGCTAGCATAAGTAAATGGTACCATCACCAGGGACATTTTTTGTGACTTAAATAGAGTTTGCATGAGTGGTGCTGCAAGTGATAATAAAAAGAGTGTTAAACCTTTCATAGGAATTAGCTGCCTTAAAGCTACAGTGCAAAAAAAAATTAAATCCATAAAAAGGGCATAAAAAACCCCACTACCACTATTTTATACCATCATTGCTTTCCCTAGATTAGTCACATTTTTCTCCTGCCAAGGACATTAGTACAAACACCCATTTTCAGTATAAAAACAATGTAAGTTTTGTACAAGCAACCCAAGGAAAGAGGATATATATTGCACTATAGACACTTTTTCCCATGTATTGGCAAAACCATATATGCCCTGCCTTGTACACATTACACACATATATAATCTGTATGCTTTACCCAGTTTCCTGTAAAAGAGCCAATAAAAATTTCAAGGTTAGAAGGGAAAATCCTTCTAGTTTATCCTTTGATCATATTGCCCAAACATACCTACAACATATGAAGGCTGGATTGGATCCTAGAATCCCGGGTTGTTTCAGTGGATGTAGATAGACTGTATGAGAAATTTGCTGCTGTCCCCAAAGCAACAAACAGCAAGTTTTTGAAAAGTAGTTGTAGACCAAATAGCATAAACCCTAATAGGAATGTTATTGTATCATTGGTTGTTTCTTTTAATTGCACTGTGGCTGTTGTTTTGTTTTACTGTTTGTTTTACTTTTTGGCACCCAGAGTTTATTAGGAACGGTGTTGCTTAGAAATGTGGTCAAATAAATATAAGGCACTACATTTTTTAAACATTCATTCATCTGTTGTTATTAGTCCATTTGCCTGTTTAAAACTTGATTTTATTCCCAACATGTATCTCTAGTTGCAATATGGAACACCTTTGTGTTTTGAGAAGTTTACTGACATACAAGTAGTCCTTGACTTGCAACCATTCACTTAGTGACTATTACAATGGAGTTACAATGGCAGGGAAGAAAGTGACTTATGCCCGGTCCTTGCCCTTATTACCACTGCAGCACCCCCACAGTCTTGTGATCAAACTTTGGATGCTTGGCAACTGTACTTATGAGAGTTTTAATCACATTAAACAATTATTACAAGCAAAGTCAATGGGAGAACATGGTTCACCTAACAAACACAGTGATTTGCTTAACAACAATGACAACAAAGGTTGTAAAACTGGGCATGATTCACTTAATAATTAACTTGCTTAGCAACAAAAAATTTTGGTCCCAGTTGTGATCATAAGTATCTGTATTTTGATTTCTCCTTCATATTAAGGAAATTCTAGAGATTTAGAGTTCATTCTGAGCTATGTTTAATGTACTTGTTTTCACTTTTGCTTGATAAATAAAGGAGGGAGAATTTTTAAACAGCTGCAGATTGTTTAGGCAAGCACTGGCTTATCAGAATGATCGTTCCTATTCAGAATTATACACAATCTGGTCAAGAACAAGCCTTGCAGTCTGGTGACCATGGAAGCAAGGCCAGGAAGTCTTGGTGCCAGGATTTAATTACCCTGAATATCTATTAAGCTTTGCACCTCTGCACAGGCTTGTAAACTCAGCTCTATGCACCCCTGGCCTTGGAGTATCTCTGCTGTTTGAAATGGGACTCTCTGCAGCTGAAGGGAAACCATCTTTCTTGGAATGTTATGCTTTTTTGTGTTTCTGTTTAGTTTGCCTTTTATAGTTAAATGATAAAGTTTGAAATCTTCCTATTCACTGGTATATTTATTGTCTCTAGATCCAAAAGAACCAAGAGCCTGGGCATCTGATCAGTTGGCAATACAATGCCTAAATTCTATTAAAATAATTTAAAAATTAAAAATTAATTAAAATAATTTTCTGCTCGTTTATGACAGGAGTATGTCCAGTGTTCAACATGTTCCTTCAGAGGTTTGTGCCTCTTTCCAACATATATGCCTCTTCGATAAGAATCTGTTCTGTAGCATCTCCAATCAAAGGATGTAACTAAATAAAGGAACTTCTGCTTTGCAGTCAGAAAACATCAGATTTAATTTTTAACATCTCTAGGTGATTATAGAAAACTTGCAGTGAAATCTGGGCAACCACTGCCAGCCAGTAGTGGCAGTATTTGGCTAGTTGGACAGTTGCAGTGTCCTGGGGCCGGGTGATCACCTTTTGTGATGTTCTTACAACCAAAGTGAATAGGGAAGCCAGATTTGCTTAATAACCATGTTACTAACATAACAATTGTCGTGATTAATTTAATAACTGTGGCAAGAAAGGTCATAAAATTGAGAAAAAAATCACTTAACCAATATTTCTCTTAACAACAGAATTTTTGAGCTCAATTGTCATAAGTCAAGGACTACCTATAATCCAGACTCTGTAAATTGCTACTCTTATTGAAGCATACTTTGGATTAGTGTATATTTGGGAAATGATTTGCACCTTGTGTGAATACAAGTTTTCTGTTAAAGCAGTGTTTCTCAAACTTTAAGATGGGTAGACTTCAACTCCCCCAGCCAAGCTTGGGGAATTCTGGGAGTTGAAGTCCATCCATCTTAAAGTTGCCAAGTTTGAGAAATACTTCTTTAAAGTGTCCATGTGAGGTTGAAAAGAATTGCTGCTGTAGCTACTGCTTTAAGGAATCTACTTATCAGAGTGCATGTGATCCTTAAAAGCAGTGACACTGTTGCCAGCCTTGAACAGAAAACTGCAAGCAGCTGTTGAGTGAATATCAGAGCAAGATTGGATTTCTTAATCATTTCTGAAGCATGTATACCCACTGAATATGAAGAATATTTCTCTTCTGCCCCATTTAGCAAATTCTCATTTGACTGGCGGAGCAATGTAATAGCCAGGCTGTTCCCCCCCCCCCCGTCCTAATAAAGCAATACTATCTCTTTTGGCTTATGCTGGGTGAAAAAAAAAGAGGCTTTATTTGCATGGCAGATGAAGCATCTGTTTAAGAGGCATGTTCAAGTTACAATTATATTGTCATCATGGCTCTTTTAACAAAAACATGAAACTTGCCTTGTTGCCTGAATCCAGATTGTTCACCATTTTGCATTTAACAAATTAGTAACCAAGCTCTTATATTACCAGAAATGAACACTGTTAATTCTTAGGCTTTTTACTTGTCATAGCTGAAAACTAAATACTTAATCTTATGAATTCCAGGCATATTGTAAGAGCAAACTTAGTTTGCCTCATTTTAATCTATGTCTGAATTCTGGCATAACAGTGAAAATATTAGAAGATTATGTTTCTGTTGTATATAAACCAAAGTTTGTATTACACAAACAGCAAACTGTAGTTAAATTTAATTGGATTATTGACATTTTCAAAATGTGGACTAGGGACCTGTGTTTTTCTCACTAATCCAAATAATCTAAAACTATCTCCTTTCACACAATTGTATTAGAAGAGTACATTGTCTCCAAATGATCTCATACACCTTTAGCAGTATGCTTCATGGGGATTAATTAAACAATATGATGTTAGTAAAAACAACATCCAGCTCCCTTTTCATTCTTTACAACAGCATCCATATTCGTAGTAGGCTGCAATTTGAAAAGTAGACCATCAAATTGCCGAGGAAAGGAATAAAGAGAACTTTTTGGAAAATAATTTGTAAGCTGCTTGCTATAGAATTTAATTAACAAGGCTATGCTTGTCAATAACTTAAATGAATATGGTTATCATCACTGCAAAGATTTTAGAGTAGACCATCACAAATTATTTGGATCAGCCAGAACTGGTTCTCTGCAGATTGCCTGCCAATTCTTGCTGATAACATGTCACCTAATTTTATTTTTTTTATCAACTGTTGTCTACATAACCATGATTTCCGTGATGCTCAAAGTTAATTCTGTGACTGGCACCCATAATAATATTTTGGTGTGGAAGACAAACTGATGCATCCCAAAGTATAATTCTTTTTGTGCCAATCAGGGAGAGTAGTGGTTAGTAGCACAATCAACATTTTATTTCTCCACTTAAAGTAGTGTTTCAATTTACAAATAAATCTATTGGAACGGAGTTTAACTTTCTTTTTAAAATACGAAGCTTTATTAGCTTTGTGAAGGCTCACCTTATATTTACACATCTATGGGTCTAAGACAAGTAGGATTCTTTCTGTATAAATGGAATTGTCCACTGGTAGGATTGCACTATTTAGTTCTCATTTCTTGCATCTATTGAAACTAAAGAAAGATTATTTCCAATTCTCCTTGTCCTTCTTCCCACTCATTTAAAACAGATTAAAACAGAAGACAAAGTTCTACCTGGGGGGGGGGGGGAGAAGCAGCTGAGAAGTACATTTGCAATTTTCTGCAAATGTACTTAGAAAAAAAGCCCTATGGAACAAAGTTGATGTTGTTTCCATGCAAATCTCTGTAGTTTGAGTCTGCCGTATCCTATGCAAAAGTATATAATATAGTATAAGAACATCAAACAGAAATCAATTTTAAAAAATAATATATTATCACATTTATGCTACAGCAATATAATTTTGTATTTCCCATTTGTAAATCTTTCAGAAGAAATAGGAGAAAGCTCATTTACTTTGTCTGTCAGACCATGATAGCATGCACAAAGTATTAAATAATTCAGATTGTCATTGTTACTTACATGAAAACTGAAAAGGTCTCCCTCCAAGGCCACATTGTCTAACCCTCTCCCCATAGAATAGTCCATACTGAATTTCACCAATAAACTTATCTAATTCCTGGCCAGTAGCATTAACAAGCAATGCTCCAGTTTTGCAAAGAATTTTTCCTTGGATCCATAGCTGAGTTCCTATAGCTGCTGCAATGGCCAGAGCACAAGCAAAACTGAACACACCAGCTATGCAGAAAACAACTTTCTTCTGTTGGGTTGGCATATATAATCCTAGATGAGGCATGTAGAAATATGTGAAAATACAGTTTCAAATGAAACCTTTAGTAAGGTGGGTTTTGCAGCATCCCTTCTCAGTGTTACTTGAGAACAAAGGTTAACATAACAGATGGAAACCTCAGTGTAATTTGATGAGTGCCCTCTTTGGTTTTTTTTTTTTTTTAATAGCCTTTGTCTGATTGGGTGAACTGAAAATTCCAGAATGAGACCTGGCTCTTGGATTAAGTTAGCAATTGTGTTTAGAGGGAAAAAAAATTCTTACATTTAAATGAGGAAGAATACAAGAGAAAAATATTCAGATTTTAACATTTTATCTTTGCATAACACTAAAATGTCATACAGGCAGATGATATAAGGTCTATTATGTACACTTAATATTATTATTAAATTAAGGCTGACATTGTTCTATTTTATTCTCAGATTGGACATATGAATGAATGGACAATTGGCAATGACTATTTTACTACTTGTCACAAAGCTATTCTACTGGATGAGTGCTTTCTTTCAAACAAGGGTCATCTGCAAAATTCCAGATGACATCTAGGTGCCAGAAAAGAGATGTAAAACACTTTCTTTGTTACCATCTATCCAAATTCAAACAACTTTTCTAGTTAAGCAATTTCATAGTTAAATCGGTGTACATCTAAATATTCTAGTTCTGCTGATTTGTAAATGGAATTGTTTATTATCCCCTAATCCCACAGTGATGATTTAACTATTTTTCAGTTGTGCAGTTGAATGAATTAATTGAACTCAAAGCTTGTAGCTTTTAGATACACATCTTACTTATTCATTATAAATCTCACTGGAAATGCAGCAGAGTAGAATAGTAGGTAGAACATTGTATATAGCACATACCTGTTCTTTAATGGTGTTTTGAAATGGATTTATGTAAAATCTGGCATTTGTAGAACAGTTTTCTGAATTCCAAGCAGGCCAAATCATCTCTAATGTTTAAGCATGTTGTAGTACCAAGCAACATATTACTATGGGTTCTTTCTTTCATTCTCTCTTTCTTGAATAATTCAACCATGGCACTCTTAATTAATTTATGCACATGTAATTATCTTTCCATGTGTAATTTTCTGCCTTGTTCTTTCTTCATACATATTGTAAGAAGTGGGAAGAGGACTTGCACCAATTCTACTTATACACAGTCTTGACCTCTACGCAGGTTATTCATACCAACAATTATGTTTATATGTTCAGGGCTGTTAAGAATAATAGGCTGATTCCAGATGTTTGCTTCTTTTTCCCCAAATAACTGACTAATATCTTGAATGCTATAATGTACATGTAGATTTTTGCCCCTTAGTGGTGACAGGTATAGAGGAAATTTTTATGAAGAAATTCTGTCACATTTGGAGCTATAAAGCTTATAACACATAGTAGAGAAATTAGGCTGAATACAGTGACTGTCCATCCTATGTTCCAGCAAAGGATTTATTTCTCTAAATTTTCTTTTTAAAATGCTGATGGTATCTAGTTCACGTTAACATGTTAATGCATTTCTAAGACTTAATTTCACATCAATCTTTTCAACTGATAGAATAGAAAGCATAAATTTATCTTTAATTTCCAGGCTAGCATTTCAAAAGCACCACAAAGAGAAGATGCAGCCTTTCACAACTTGAATCTAAATCTGGCCTATTCACATGTCTCAGTAATCATTGTTTTCTGTTATTTCCTCATAATATTATCTTCATGTGATTCCCTATCCTACACCAGAATTCTTATTTCAATGTAGTAGTATTATAGTAGTGTTTTTCCTTTTTTGTATGCCGTCCTATGACCTTCAGCAACGATTCCGTTGGTAGGGTAGTCAAGTGATCCCTCAAGAATGGGGTTAATCGATTGGCCACTTTAGACTAATAAGGGCACCCCCTTCTTCTGTTCCTGAGCACCAGGGGCATTCAGATTTAAAAGGAGGAGAGCTCTTCAGGCGTAAGTATCCATCAGGTATCTGAGTTGACCTCTTGTTTGAAACCAGGGTCACCCTAAATAGCAGCTGACAAGCAATGGTGGTGAGGAGGGGGATGCACAATGAAGTGAGAGAATGGGAGTGTTGGTCAGAGCTGTGGGTTAGACTGGGAACTTGAAAAGCCCATCTTATTTGATCTTGTAACCAAATCTGGTTCTTTAATTAAGAAAACAACATGAAAGTATGCATGAAGTCACTAGGAATGAAGCATAATTTGTTTCCTCAATACAAAAAGCAAGTGTCATAATCTACTGACATTTGACATTTCCATGAAGTGAGAAACATTGTTTCTTTCCCATGAAATAAACTGACCATTTCCCCATTTAACCAAACATTTAACCAACATGCTTAGTTGATTTCACAATATAAAATGGCATTTCCTTCTGTCATAAGAAATTCCACCTAAAGCTTATGACACATGTAATTCTGTGTATGTGTGGAAAGAAATGAATACAGTCCCATAATGGTATTTTATTAGTTTTGAAGCCCAGATTTAGTAATAAAAATTGGCTCTGGAGAATTAAGTCTTTGTGTTAAAACCTTAGAATTGTTTGGATTAAGAAAATTGACTATCTGCATGCACACAAGTGTGTGGAAATGGTAGAAGTAAAAAAGAGTAATAAAATAAAAACTGATGATAATGGGATTTTTTAATTGCCCTAAAATGGAGATGTTCTATTGAAATATAAAATGCTATAATCCCCACTGGAGAATTAGTCAACCCAGCATTCAAGTGACTGAAACTCTGTATAGGCACAGTAGGCAACCCATTCAGAGATTGAATGTACTAATTAAAAAGCTAAATGAATATTTATGTAATCTGTCAGGTGAGAAGATTTCATAGAGCTCTAAATTCAAAAGCTATACTTCATCAACAGTAATTGCTTTCCTAAATCAAGTTTTTAGCTGTATTTCAATATAATCTTATAATATATTTTATCTATTGTTCCAAATTAAGCTCCATCATCAAGAACAGGCATTATTTTTATATAATGAATTTTATTATTAATATATTATTGCCTTTCATTATGAAAGAATATAATTATTTTTTTTAAAAAGAGATGTAAATCTATAATGCAGCCATAGAAGAATCTATAGAAGAAAGGAGATTATAACTGATTTGCTTATATCTAGTCATATTATTAACATAAAATATAAACTGATGTGAGCTTTTTCTGTGACCATTTGCATACATGGTTTTTTAGATTAAGTACAGTTTTGGTCACTACCAGTAAAATATTCCCATTCCTTCCTGAATTTCTGTTTGTAAAATATAAAGATTTTAAAAGCATATTCTTTTGTGCTACAAAGATTATGATAATCTTTAAAAGATGTACAAAGATTAAGGACCATATGCAATCTACCACCAGTAGAATTTCTAAGAATTGGTGGAATTGCAAAACTGATCTTTTCCCTGTTTTTTTTTAAATTTTGAAAAGTTTTTAAAGAGAAAAATCCACAGCACAAACTTTACAGAGGCTTAAATTTCTATTTAATCTCTTGGCTCCTAGCATGCTTGAGTGGCCTTCAAGTTCGCAGAAGAGGTACAAACTAGATATAGTTGAAGGTAAAGCATTAAAATGCTAATACAATATCAGAAGAAAATTCTGGTCTGGTTCCAAGCCAGGTTATGAAAGAAATGCATTGGACAAGGATGGTAGTTTATTCTACAGTACGGGTGTCAAACTCAATTGTGTCACATGACATATTGTGATGTATCGTGATGTTTTTTGCCTTTAAGGAATGGGCCTGGCACGTGACGCATCCGGCCTATGAGCTGTCCGTTTGACACCTCTGTAACACAGCATAGATTACAGCAATTGAGGTAACTATCAAATGGGAGGTCCGAGAGTGGTGATATTTATAGTAAAGTTTGTGAGGTGTGGGATCAAGGTGTTTGTTCTGGTGGACATGCCATTTTCTCATCTTACTGGGTATCTTGATGCTTGATTTCTTGAGTCTATCTGGAATGTGAATTACGGGTACCACCTTGTGTAATTTCAAGACTTCTGTATCCTAAAGAGATTTATTTTTAATTATAATTAAATGGCTGGTGTTTGCTTTTCCCAAGGCAACATGCTTTTATCAGTTTCAGTCCCAGTGTCAGTTATGGGCTGAGAAGAACTGAAGTGGTCTTTTGCAAGATTGTACATTCACAGAAAGTTGCTGCTTTCTGTGTTACTTTAAAATAGCTATAAAAATGGATGCTGGCACAGAAAACTAATTTCAAAATGGTGCCCTTGTAATGTGTATTCAAATTAATCTGTGGATGGTCAGGAAGAAGCTGTGAGAGGGTTAGTGTTAGTAATCTGCCTCACTGGGTGGTGGTCCACTAGGACATCTAGTTCTCTCTCGCAGTCACTGCTGTTGACTTAGTTACTGCCTATTCTATACCTGTGCATTTCGTTTTCCTGCATAGGTGCGGGACCTTACTTTTCATACCAAGCAACATAGCAGAAGTTGTAAAGAAAAAGATGAAAACAAATCACATATTTAGTAGATGCTGCAAAATTGCTCAGCCTGGTGATAAATGATATTACGACAGAGTAGTCACTTTATTCCATTGGCATCTATGGAAAACTATAATTTCTGAGATTCTTAAATGTAGTATGATGACAAAATTAAGAAAATAGTTGAGATGAGGATGTTAAGTTTTGGGACTTTTGCATACAAGCTGATTGCCATCTAGAATAAAAGACACCAGATATAACAGAGTAATTTTTGTAGATGTGGCAATATACCTGGACAGCAGGATCAAGGAAATAATTCAAATAAAATAAAATATAGAAATATAATGATCAAAATAGGTAAATTATTGCTTTATTTATTGGTGTATTAAGTGGAATACAAGCAAATTAAATATATTTTTACTTGTATTAAATATTTCACCTGTATTAACTGTATATATGCTTCCCTACTTTTGTTCATTATAATTACGTTATATGGATCACTTCTAGCTTCCTGACTGGCATCTGAATTTACAAAAATATAAGTCAAAGATTTGAGTGATTATTTTTAATTTTTGTACTGTTACTCCTTGATTCTGAAATAATTATAGTAATACACTCTTAATATTCTCAAGCAACAAAGTCTGCCTATCTCAGGTCCTTGGACTGAACAGATGGATGAAAATGCCAAATCCGGTTTAAATATCTGGTTGATTGTGTGACTAAGCATAATAAGAAAAGGCAAACAACAATTCAGACATGGGATTTGATATATTTTGTGGCAGCAGTGTTTGGTGTGGCCAGCAATATGATCATTTTATCTCATTCTTTTTTTGAGTAACTGACAAGCATAAATTGAGAGGGAATTTTTTTGCAGCCTATGTTTCTGGTGTAAAATTATTTCAGGCATTGTTAGGCTTCTTATATGGACCAAAGCTGGTAATAGAGGTTTCACAGGCAGAGATTCAAGGACATAGTTCCTGATCATCTAGTTTTATTACAGACCCTAGAAATGTTGTTGATGGAGAACCAACACTGTAAAATGCAAACCATATATAAACCAAAAACAAAGTTTAAATCACACTTTTATTTTCTGGATCTGTGACCCTCAAGCTGTTGGCACCTATGCGTTGGAATAGTAATAATGAAGTCTAGTCTCAGGATCATTGATTCTGACTACCTGATGGAGTCCTTGCAACAGGAATGTTGGCATTTTATGACCCAGAACTACAGTTTTCCTCAATGGGATTTTTGGATTATTAATGTTTAAATTCTATGAGGACTACATAGTTATTCAGTTCAAATGTCTATATAACAATTGGCTGAGAGGGATCACCTGAAAGCAGGAACTGACATGCAAGAAGCTAAGCACAGATTGGGAGTATATTTCTGCCTAATCAATAAGTAGACATTTTCTGATTTGGATCATAATAAGATTGTATCAGGGATTTTTCAAAATAACAATATTTGTGATTGATAGCATCCTATTAATTAGCTCAATTTACAGGTTATATGTAGACCAGCCTTCTCATGATTAAAGCCTTTCAGCTACATTGGATTTCAATTTTCTTAAATATTAGCCAGATAATAACCCTGATCCAAGAAGAACATGGTTGGTTGTTCAGATGTGGATCACTTATTTAGACCTATACCTGTGTAGGTAGAAAGAGTATAAGGAGAGAAAAGGAGATCTCATTTATGGTCTATATATCTATGGTAGGTGCATCTGTAAAAGCCATAGACATCTCGCAGAATTATGAGATTGTAGTGTGCGTAATCAACCTAAGATATGCAGATGATACCACTCTAATGGCAGAAAGTGAAGAGGAACTAAAGAGCCTCTTGATGCGGGTGAAGAAGGAGAGTGCAAAAGTTGGCTTAAAACTCAACATTAAGAAAACCAAAATCATGGCATCCAGCCCTCTCAATTCCTGGCAAATAGATGGGGAAGAAATGAGGTAGTGACAGATTTTATTTTTCTGGGCTCAAAGATCACCTCAGATGGGGACTGCAGCCAAGAAATTAAAAGACGCTTGCTCCTGGGGAGGAAAGCTATGGCAAATATAAACAGCATTCTAAAAAGCAGAGACATCACCCTGCCAACAAAAGTGCGTATAGTCCAGGCCATGGTTTTCCCAGTTGCAATGTACGGCTGTGAAAGTTGGACCATAAGAAAGGCTGAGCGCCAAAGAATTGAGGCCTTTGAACTATGGTGCTGGAGAAGACTCCTGTGAGGCCCTTGGACTGCAAGGCGTTCAAACCGGTCAGTCCTAGAAGAGATCAACCCCGACTGCTCTTTAGAAGGCCAGATCCTGAAGTTGAAACTCAAATACTTTGGCCGCCTAATGAGAAGGAAGGACTCACTGGAGAAGGGCCTAATGCTGGGAAAGATTGAGGGCAATAGAAGAAGGGGACGACAGAGAATGAGATGGCTGGATGGAGTCACTGAAGCAGTAGGTGAGAACTTAAATGGACTCCAGAAGATGGTAGAGGACAGGAAGACCTGGAGGAACGTTGTCCATGGGGTCGCGATGGGTCGGACACGACTTCGCAATTAACAACAGTGTGCATAATGAGACAAATTATGCAATGTGTCAGTTGCACATACAACTGAAGCAAATTACAAAACTTACATAACTGATGCATGCAGTATCACATGTTGCTCTTTGTAACCTTCATGGTATAAACTATGTGTAGGTCACTTTGCTCATTTACATTGTAAATTTGTGAGCAAGTAGGGAGAGATTTTTTTTTTAAATTGTGCTATCCAGCAAATAAGGAATATGAATCCAAAAAAAGAACAATGACCAGCTCTTTGGATGACTGACTTTATTGTTGAACCTCTCTTCCTTTTCATTTAATTATGTGCTATCAAATAATTGTCTACTCTTAGCAATCACAGATAGATTTTCTCTGTGACAATATGACACTAACCTGATCTTTTAAGTCTTTTGATGGAGCACCTGCTGCCATTATAACTGAATCCATCTTCCTTGTTGCTGGTCATCCTCTTCTCTTTCCTTCCATTTTTCTCAGCATTAGAGTATGCTAGATCTTTGCATAATGTGTAGGATAATTTAAGCCTTGTCATTTGTGCCTTGAGTGAGAACTCTAGATTGATTTGTTTGATGATCATTCTTTGAGGGGCCCTTGGTGCTCTCTGAACTTGGTTATTTTCTTTCAGAAGGTTCATTATTCAAACTAGGTAACATCATCATATCATTTCTTGGCTGTCCATGGCTTTCTGAGGAATCTTCTCCAGCATCAAAGTTCAAAAGTGTCAATATTCTTATCTGCTGCTTCTGAGTCCAACTTTCATCTTCTATGTCACAGGGAGTACCATGCATGATCATGATCTTTGTATAGATGATTCCTAACATTTGAATATCTTTTCCAAGCCTTTTACGTCTATCAAGTGTTAGTCTGAGGCATATTTCTTACTGCTTCTTCCTTTTTCTGCTGATTCTTGGTCATAAAGGTACCCACCATTTCAGTCTCTTCTGTCTGTTCTTAGCCTGTTTATTTCATGTCCTGTAGTTTAAAATAGCAGAGAAGATACTTTTTCAAATATCTTCTCTTGTCACGGCTTAACCATGCTGAGTTTTCGTTGATCATTTGATCACATTCATTGTCCTTCTCTGAACTTGCTCTAATTTGTCTGAATTTCTTCCCAAAACATATCAGCCAGAAACAGAAACAATATATCCAAAAGTGTATCCCACTGATGAAGATTTGGGTTCTATCGCCCTATGGTGCAATGGAAAGAATAATAATAGAAAAGTAGAATGGATGAATGTGGGGGGGGAACCCCTTTTTAGTTGTAAGAGAGAATTACTGAAAAGATTGGGGTGGAGGACTTTCCATCTTTTGTTGCACTTGTTCTAAAAACAGTTACTTCTTCAACTATCTTTATGGCCAGGAAGCAGTAGTCTTTTACCCATGGCCCAGCTGATGATTTATCATTTAGGCTACAGGAAAATACATAAGTTTTCTGGGTTTTCTATTGTGGGCATTATAGATAGGGGCTGAACAGCTTCTAAATTTGGGGGGGGGGTAGGCCAATAACCTACTTGCCTTCAAGCAAACTCTAAAAACTTGGTCCTTTCCTCAGGCTTTGAGACCTGGGATATTTGAAGGGACTGTTTGTTTGTTTCCCTGGAGTGACTGTTTTTCTTTTTATATGGTGTTGCTTTCCTTTTGGTTTCTCTTAATCATGAACCTGCCCAGAGTTGTTTTAAAATTGGGCAACCTAAAATAGATGATTAAATGAGCACACAAATACACATTTGGCATCTGCTCTCACATAGTGGATACCTTGTGAAAGGTCTTTCCAATACTTAACTACCCTTTTACCAAAACACACACTGGTGAGATTCTTTCTCCTTAAATTCTCAGGAATGTCATCTCATTTTTCCTTTGTCTTTTTTTTTTTGGGGGGGGGAGTTCAGGCTTTATTTTTATTTTCTAAGAACATTTGAGACTATAGGTGATATCCAGAGCTATTCAAACTTAACTAGGCACTTTTACCATAAATTAAACAAATGTAAGGATAATAAACTAAATTTAGTGACATTTTGGAGATTCAGAGAGTGCAAAGCCCTAAATATGCCTTCTGCAAATTGGTGCTTTTGGGTATGGCTAGGCATTACAAACAAAGGGGCACAAAGATGGAGATCACCCTTATGCCGCTTCCTTTCTCAGTTCTGGCTGATCTATGCCTGTTCTCTGGGAAGTCAGTGTGAACAATGATGAAAGCTTTGCAAGCTTGATGGTGCCATGGAGGATGCTACATTTCTTGTGCTGCTGTTAAGAGCCACTAGCCAAGGCAGTTGCAATCTGTTGGAGTGGCTGGTTAGGTTGTCAAGAGAACAAATCTTTTATTTAGGATCTCCTGTGTCCTGGGCATTGATTAACTATTTGATTGCATCATATATTTTTGTTGCACTGATGTAGCAGATACAGATTACACAGTTAGATCTCACTGGAACTTCTGTAAGTAAATATTCAGAACTGATGAACATAGTTTACGTAATATTCCTTAAATACTTTGTAGCACCTTTTGTATTTCCATTAAGTAGTTTCTCTTCACAATCTTCCAGCGTAGAAAAAAAAGCAATGCTAATTTGTCATGCAAGTACAAAAGCAACACATGCTAACACATTCCACCAGTCAATGCATTTAATTAAGGAACCGATAGGGTTGACATATCCTGCTTAAGCCAAGTCATAGTCAAGATCAGATAGATTGATTTTACTCTCTCATGCCAGTTTATAGGAGAAGTGGGATTTCACTTAGTCCACACTAGCAATACTGGGCATGAAACTGGGTTTCATAACCTACTTTAGATCTGAGGTACCTGATCTTGTGTGGAGGACATTTGAACTTGTGACTTTGAAACCTCATGCGCTACTGGGGCAAAGGCAGTGAGTGGTGTCTGCTGTCATGGGAACTACATCCATGTTATTGTTTTTTTAAAAAAGCCTTTAAAATTCTCTCTGTGAAATTTGGCCTAGGGCAAGAGAAGGAACAAATCCTGCAATTATTGGGAAGGAAGGACTCGTCTCTTCTGGGAGGGGCGGGTGCAAGGGTCTTTTCTCCCTGGCCTCTCTATCCATTTTCACCCCGGCGCTTGGTGCTTTTTGTCACCCAACGCCAACCTCGACGTCGCTCAGCTCTCCAGTGATGTTTGTCTGCGCGTGTGGGGGTGTGACATTTGCCTCTGTGGGCGGATTGGGTTGCAATCCTGCCGCATCCTAAGCCGCCCTTTGGTCTCCCCGCGTACGTATCTATGTATGTCTCCCACAGACCCGGGGGGGGGGGAGTCTGTCTGCCAGCCAAGTGCTGCTCCCTGGTGCTCAGAGGCTGCTCCATCTCCAACTCCTCTCTCTCTCTCTCTTTCTCTCTCATTCATTTCGCCGGCTAACATGAGAGATCATGGCCGCCTTCGGGCTCCTGAGCTATGAGCAGAGACCTCTCAAACGGTCCCGTTTGGGGCCGCCCGACGTCTATCCTCAAGACCCCAAGCAGAAGGAGGTAAGCTCGGGGCTTCGCTCGTGCCCGTCGCACACACCTGGTCCGGGGAAGAAGTTTGCCTGGCGACCACCTGAGAGGGGGAAGGGAAAGCAGGCTAGGTGGGTTGAAGGAGAAGGAGGGGGAGGAGGAGGCGCCTGCCAGCTTCAGAGCGGAGTTCCTTGCAAGGCTGTTGCGGACCCTGAGAGATTTCGTAGCGTCGAGTTATGGGGGGAGGGAGTGATATGCTTGCGCGCCGGGCCCTGACGCACTCCAGGGCTGTGTATTAGATACCCGCCCCCTCCTCTTCGTCTCTTCTCGGTGCACTTCCTCCCCCCCCCAAACTTTTGAAAGACATCAGCCAGAAAAGAAAAGGGCGCTTCCCCTCCTCCGCAACCCTGACTTGCATTTTACGCACCTAAACAAGCCCCGGGCTAGTCTTGAATCCCGGGTGACTGAGGCCACCCCTCCCCCTAGCAGGTGGAAACAGCTTTCCTTCCCTTCCCTCGGTTCCCTAGCTTTTCTTAAACGGGGCTTTTCTGGCAGACGTTGCCTATGGACTAGTGACTTGACATTTGATCACATGGAGCTTTCTTCTCTTAGTCACTAGTCACCCCAAATCAGATGACTTTCAAAACACTGGTACTTTGCATGTATTGTTCCAGCTAGTGGCACTGGGTTGCAACCATGATGTTATGGCCCTGTGTAATTAACATAATTGCTGGAGGGGAGAAGGAAGGTTGTTATAATGTTCAGTACAATTTATCAAGGGATTCCTTAACTCACCTGCTACTGAATTGCCATTAATTTCTGTCTCTGTAGGTTAAAGTTGCAAGTTACTAAGAAACTGATAAATTAAGGGCTTCTTTAACTGTATTACAACCTTTATGTTGGAGGCCTTAGTTGTCTGGCTGTAATATTGGCAGACTGTTTCTTGCTTCATTATGACCATTCCCATAAAAAGACTGTGTTTGGCCCACAGGCAGAACTATAGTTAACTATAGTTAACAGTCAATGCTGTCAGTATTCATGCATGCTAAGCCAAAAGAAGCAAGCAACAATTATGTCTTATCCCGATGGTCTGGTTCAGTCAACATGCTCCAACATGTTTTGGCTGGTTACTTAATCATAGTTTACACTTCATCATATTGCGTGAATCCAAGTAAAATCTGTTTTAATACTTTTTAGAAATGGATGTTATACTAGAACTTTGTGCTATTAGAACAACTCTTGTGTAGTTTGAAACTCTCATAATTCCTATAGGAAATAGTTGTAACAATAAATGTATACAGGGGCACTATAAAGAAGTACTTTTGGTGCCTTCATTTCAGTGTTGACCGCCTGGAAAGGCCTCTGCAATTTCCTTGGCGGTGTTTTTCATTGCCTCCTTCCTAGGACTATGCTGGAAATAAGCAAAGTACTGGGTCTAGAGGAGGAGTCTCCAATCTTTGCAACTTTACAACTTGTGGACTTCAATTCCCAGAATTCCTGAGCCACCATGGTCTAGAGAGGTTAATCCAAAAGGAAAATGAAAAGTGTGCAGAACTCTAGTCAGCAGTTGATTTAAGAATGGGATATATAATATATTTACCTTTACAGTGAGGTTTATATTATGGTAAATTGCATCTACTTTTTTATTTTAAAATATTTAAATTACAATAGTAATTTAAACTAAATTCAGAGAGAGGAACACAAATAGAAAAAAAGAATAAAAAGAGCAAAGAAAGAAAAAGAAAAGTAAGATAAAGAAGAAAAATTTAGCATTTGCTAAGATAGGCTGGAAAGTACTGTGAGCTGTGGAGAAATCTTGATTCTATTTTATAGTTCAAGTTTTCCAAAACATTTTACAATTATAATACTGAAGAACTTTCTTCATTTCTCCAGACTTTCTGTTATTAAAAATACCCACATGGAATGTGAAAAAATAACTTTATTTTTTATTTTATTTATTCAGATTTTTAATAATGTTTGTCTCATATTATGTAGGAAAAATCAACTGTTCCAACACCTATCAATTTATAGAACAATTTTGTGTACTATGTAATATGTCACCTTATTAGTATATTGTTTACTACCATTTTAAAAACTTAAACTAGGAATTGTTGTCTGAGTATATCTTAGGAAATTAATATTTGTACTGCTGGGGTCTGCATTGTAATGAATCTCACTCCTATCCTTTAATTTGATGTACATATGTATGTACCATATTTTCATGCCATTTATCTTCTTAAAATAGATTTCAGAGTGACTTAAAGAAATACAACTTACAATCTTTGGTATGGAAATATGTTTCATGTTTTGATTATGCCTGAAATAATAATACTTGACCTAGCATCTCTCTTTGTAGAGATTTCAAGTCAGCTGTGGTTTTATCGGCTTGAATTCCCTTGATTCCTATTTAATACACTCTCTGTATTGATGATGTAAATATAAACTCCCAGAATTCCAAATTAATCTGATGTAATACATTAGACTTGAGTTTGCAAACAATTTTAAGATATAATGTGGTTTGTTTGGTTTGGCTTAGATTATCAAGTAAATTTAGCCATTGTGGTTATTAACCATGGACTCTAGCTTAATGTGATGCTTAAGCCTAACCAATAGTTGTATCTTCAGCAAAGTATTATTAAGTTAAGTATCTCATAACTGTCTAGATGCATGCATTACACAATTCAGAACTGAACAAAGCACATTATAGCTTAATAGATTGCCTGGATTCAGCCAATATATGCAAAATTTAATAATCAAAATATCTAAAACACTGGAAGTTTTTAAGAAGAGACTGGACAGCCACTTGTCTGAAATGGTATAGGGTTTCCTGCCTGAGCAGGAGGATGGACTAGATGATCTCCAAGTTCCCTTCCAACATTATTGTTATTGTTGTTATTATCATCATCATCATCATCATCATCATCATGGCTTTTGTGCCTTAAGCATACACTGTATATACAACATATCCTATGACCCTTTCTAATATGCTGAACTGGTGTGTTAATTTATTGTAGTGATTTCCTAGAACAAGAAAAGTTTTGTATGTATTTTTTTGGTCTGTTTTTCAGCCTATTGGATTCCCAAAAGTTGATGCATAGCAATAAATAAATTTACATATATAGTTGTGCAATATTATAAATTAAAGTATTAACATTTAATATAGTTTGTGTAGGACTACCGGTAGTTATTCATGCAGTATATATACATTTGACTGACCTTGCCACTTTCTCTTTTTCTTTCTTTTTGCATAAAACATACCATTAAAATAATACTGAAATAAACTGCAATTGTAAAAGCTTCCCCGAAGAATCTTTTAGTCATAATGTAAAAGGGGTCCAACTCTTGAAATTGCTGTATTAGTTGAAATTGATTCTAGTTTTTTGAAAAAGTTGTATGTGCTTAATATGATCCTTACTTACTAGGGTGGTCCTAAAGTTTGAACTTGGACCTAAGAGGAACAATTTGGACAAAACTTTACTTATCAAAGATAAGGCAGTTGGAACCATTTTGATTCAAAAACTTCTACAAAACCCTAGGACAATTTCACCAGGTCAACTTCACCAACAAAGTTTTGTTCAAAAAAGAAAACACATTGCTACCTAAATTGCAATCTTGCTTGGAAGATATTGGAGAAGGTGTCACATGAAGTAGTAATAGGAGAGCTGTCATAGTGAGAGAGGAATGTCATCCTTATAAAGATTACCAACCTGCTTTATCTCTCTAGAGATGTGGAATGAATAGATCAGTGTTTCTCAACCTTGGCCATTTTAAGATGTGTGGACTTCAACTCCCAAAATTCCCCAGCCAGCATGGCTGGCTAGGGAGTTCTGGGAGTTGAAGTCCACATATCTTAAAATGGCCAAGGTTGAGAAACACTGGAATAGATCTTTATGAACATTTGATGATTTGTAGCCTTGGGCTAAATAGGCATGTGAGAACAGACTTCTAGATAAATTCTAGCCTGTTGACTGCCTAGGAGGGAGGGGGCTGTTTTTGCACTATTGTATTTGACCCTCCAAGTGAATATGGTAGTCTTTGCACAGTTCTGTAATTACGTATAACTAAGATTGATGAAACCATTTTAGACCTTATTGTACACCTTTTAGTATTTTATCTGAAAGTTCCTGTGAATATTTATGAATATGATGGGGAAGTTTTGGGGCTTGAACCACACAGAAAAAGTCAGATGGGTGCATCCTACCCTTTGTGAGGAATGAAGAAATGCACCATCACCTGGAAGTGGCCAGCAAATGGCCCTCGCCTACTTCACATATCCGGCTTGATAGGCTCTGGGGGAGGGGTTTCAGCAGGCAGCGGGGCGCTCTTCTCACAGCCCGGCGGTGCGAAGCTCGCCAACTTTGTACCTTGCTGTCTGCTGAAACTGGGTAGGATGGGGGCTAGAAGCATTGCACTTCTCATCAGATTCGCGCCACCCAGCTCAGCTCTTGGCACTGTGAGGAGAGTGCCCCGCTGCCTGCTGAAACCAGGCATGCTGGGAGCTGGGCGGCCTTGAGTTTCTTTTTGGATTTGCGCCCCCTCGGCTCAGCCTCTCGGCGCTGTGAGGAGTGCACCCCGCTGCCTGCCAAAACCCCTCCCCCAGAGCCTATCAAGCCGGATATGTGAAGTAGCGAGGGCCATTTGCTGGCCACTTCCAGGTGATGGTGCATTTCTTCATTCCTCACAAAGGGCAACACCTCCCCAGCATGCACCCAGGGGGTGGGGCTGACGCGGCAGGGACTGGTTCCTCACTGTTTCCAGACAGCCTTATGGAGCTAAGATTGAATGCGTTTCAGCATAGATGGCTACCACAAAATTGTACATTGGCTCCCTCCCGGCCGACTTGGGCCAGGGCCAAGGCAGTGGGGGCCGTTCCCTCATTGTTTCCACGATGGCTTTGTGGGCCACATGAAACCACTTTGCAGGCCGCATCCGGCCCCCGGGCCTTATGTTTGACATGTCTGGTTTAGAGTATTCTATTTTTCAATATTATATAACATTCAGAATCAAAATAACTGGTTCCATGTTTTTTCTTCCTGAATGCAATACTTAATTTTATGGTATTAAGAACTGAATGAGCTTGGATTTGATATAATTCCTGATTATGGATTAAAATGAAATAAATTACATTGAACTTGTAATTATCCACACCTAGATTCAAAGCAACAAATCTGAATAATTTGATGCCCAGGTTTCCCCACAGAGCAATGCTATTACAATATAAGGGAATCTATCCTTTCTGACAATCAAAGCATCTCCTGTGAAAATTAGTTCATAAATGTTGATTTGGGATAGAAAAGATAATATAGATAATATAGATTTCAAGAAGTGTGGAAAGGTTGCTGATGCAAAATTATGTATGGAACTCATTGTTTCCTTTGAGTAATTCTAATTTTTCTGTTCTTTTTTCCCCTTTCTGATACACTAAATGAAGATGTGCAAAACTATAAAAGAATCACTTTTCTTTTTCTTTTAAAGAATTGGGTGTAAGACTAGCAGTGTTTATAGTGAATAATTCCAATAGATTTCCTCAAGGCTTTTTCAGAATAAATACACATTTGTTGTTTGGCATATGTAGAACATCAGGGAGTTACAGTTCAGTTTTCCTTTAATTGTCTGCCAATAATTTCCAAGTGTAAAAGCTTGAAAAGAGAAAAAAAACCCTTCCTTTGTATAAAAACTGTGGTAATTCAGGCTGTTCAGATCCTCTGTGCAGTTGTGCACTGAACATTGTTCTCTGAAAACAATGTGTGATTCTGTCTGTCAAGACTGTACTGAAATGACAAATTCAATGGAGTAAAGATAATTCAGAAAAAATAAATTTGGGGATAAAGACTATAAATTGTTTATAAGATATAAAAAAATCACAACTGAAAATTACCAATGGGATTTAAAGGTAAAATGGTTCCAAATAGTTTGCAGATTCTGATTGTATATTGTATACAGCTGTAATTCTACAGATTGCATCCTAAAGTAGAAACAATTTATTAGAATATGTGGTTGTGCTGTCTTTCACAGGTAGTTTAAATGCAGATTATGATTTTCTCCAGATTCGAGTGAGGATTTGATTGATTATATGAGATTAGTGGTGTTGACTTTTAACAATCACATAGATTTTTAAAAGTGAAAATGAATCAGGGATCTTATTATCTCAACGCATAAAACCATCTTTGAAATATTTTTTTCCCAAAGAATGTGAACACATTTTGTTTAACCTTGGTCCTTTTTAACCATCATTTCCTTGTGAGTGTAATCTTAATTTGTAGTTCTAGTGAAGAAGTAGAAGAAGAGCAACTGAGGTATAAAAGGAGAGATTGTTCTATACTTGAAGACAGAGAATGGGTTCCTAGATTATGGTAAATTATATTTTGCTTAGTTTTGTCATGTTGTCTTCTGTGAGTCCAACCACTATCATTTGTGAATTTTTGTTTATGACTTAGGGGATTATATGAACCCAGCCAATTGTGATTTAATTTGACAAATAAACTAGGTCACTATGTCATGTCTGAATCACTGCTGTTTGGCAGCTGGTTTTAATTGCTGAATAACTCTAATAACCCCTAAAGCACCCAACTGAATCAATAAGATAGATTGCCATTAAACCTTTAGGCCACATTGGCTGGATATATTGGGAATTGTAATCCCAATACTTCTGGATAATGAAGCTAGGCTCTCATGAAGTATTAAAAAAATAAAAATGCAGTTGGTGGATATCATGTTCTATAGAGCAAGACCAAGGATGCCGGAACTGAAAGTAGCCATTGACTTGCCACCACAACTGAGCCCAAAATTTCTGTGCCTAAATGAGATAGTTGTTCAGTGAATTTTGTACCATTTTAGACCCTTTTTGTCACAGTTTTTAAGTGAATCATTGCAGTTAAGTTAGTAACACAATTGTTAAGTGCATCTGGCTTCTCCATTGACTTTGCTTGTCAGAAGGTCACAAAAAATGATCACATGACCCTGGGACACTGGAACCATTATAAATACATGCCAATTGCCAAGAGACTGAATTTTTATCAGGTGATAAAATGGGAATAATGCAGCAATTATGTATGAAAAACTTTCATAAGTCACATTTTCCAGATGGTCACTAAATGAAAACTTCAAATGGTCACTAAATGATTGGTTATAAGTCAAGGTCTACTTGTAGATGATTGAATGGTGGACAGAATTCATGTTAGAGATACCTATTCTGGTAGAACACTTCCATTACAATATTTTATGTCTGCTGTTCCTGATTTATATCTAAAATTTATCTGTGTATCTATGGATAGAAAAATTTACTTTTCCCAACAGAGAACAGCCAGTTCTTGGATAAAAATAAGATCTATGGTGCAAATCAATTGAATGCTTTGTGGTTGCTGTTCTTTGAAGCTGTTCATCAGGTTCATGTTGTTCTGAATCAGGAACTGTGTACATTTGATAGTGTAGTACAACAAAGACGAACAGTATGGGCTTTTTTGTTGCAAACATTAGGTTGAATACACATTTTTCAGGGAAGTGCTGCGATTACAAACCTGTAGGCACAGAGAACATTTTTTGTTCAAAAGTATCCCTATGCATTTAGAGAGTTAGTGTGCTGGCTTTATTTAATTAAAAGGATGTGTCTAAGTTTGCTCAAAAAAAAAAATTCCTTATATGCATTTTGAAATTACATAGTTGAACTTGTTCATCGGATTAAAATTTTGTTTTTAATGAAGTTCTGTCATTTGTTTATATAACAGTACATATTTTATGGCTTAGATCAGGGGTAGGCAATCTTGGCTCTTTTATGACTCGTGGACGGCTCAGGAATTCTGAGAGTTGACGTCTAGGAGTCATAAAAGAGCCAAGGTTGCCTATCCCTGGCTTACATAATACATTAAAATATAGCATTAGTCTCTATCTTTTACCCTTTAAATGGGCCTGATACCCCTTTTTTTGAACTGGGAAAAACATTATACTTTTTTGATATGGACTGTTTGATTCATTACTCTTTTACCTAGTAGCTAGGATATGCAAGATAGAAACTTAGGAAACATATATGATGATGATTTATTGATTTGTAAAGTGGAGTTAATTTCAGTGGAAAGATGATGTGGCAGAAATATTTTAAATGCTAAGCTGTGACACGGTATATAGTTTTCACTTTATTTGCACGTGATCTCTGTTAGGCTTTTGCAAGCTTATGCGTAGGGAAGGAGGAGGTCTTATACCGCTGATGGATATGGTATAAGAAGGATATATAAGGATATCTTCAACATTATGTCTGCATCTTTTAATTAGAAGTTCAGATGGGTTACAATGGATCACAGTTTCATCTGTACAGCTGTGCTATTGTTTAAACAGAAGGCTGGTGAATCTTCACTGTTGAAATGAGTTAGCTTCAAAACTAATGACCAGGATTTGAAATTTAGATCTCTATTGAAGTCCAGAGCTTTTTTGTTGTTGAATTTTATGAGAATGAAACATAATATCACACTGTGTTGAGGCTAGTTTTAGTCTTAACTAAATTAACTAAAACTAGAAATCTAAACCTCTGTGGAAATTCTCGGTCATCCAGGTCATAGTTGTCTCAAAGGTGGGTTGTTGTTTTTTTTCTCAGAAGGCAACTGGACTATTTTTTCTCCAGCATGATGGATGGAGAATCCACACTTGTGGATTCTCCATCATCATGCTGAGAAAAGGCGTTCAGGTAAGACAACGCCCCTACTCCAGCTGATGGATGGAGAATCCACGAGTGTGGATTCTCCATCATCATGCTGAGAAAAGGCGTTCAGGTAAGACAACACTCCTTCTTTGAGGAGGAAAAAAAGTGTTTCCCTTCTCACCCAAGAAGCTTCATCAATTTTGATGGTGGTGGGGGGGAGGGAAGGATAGTTTCTGATAGAATGGTCGTGGGAGGGGGGGGATGGAAAGATTGTATTTCTTTGCAGTCATCTGGTCATTAGCACTCTTTCTAAGAGCTGTTGAGACCACTTGGGGGTTTACCTGTGCCCTCAGTGTCACCTGAATCACAACCACCACCAATTGCATCCTAGGTTGTCTAATGATTTGTTTCTGTAATTTAAAATGCTGACTGAAACAGCTGAATAAACTAACTGAAACAATAACAGAGTAAACCAAAATACTCAAATATAACCGCATAAATTGTCTCATTCCCAAGTGCCAATCTAGATAAGATCTTTGATTTCTTTTCTTCTATTCAATCATGTTCAGTTCTTGGAGACTGCCTGCATTTGTCTTTGCAAGTTTTTTTTCAGAAGTGGTTTGTCACTGCTTCCTTCCCAGACTGAGACAAAATGATTGGCCCAAGTTCACCCAGCCAGCTTCATGTCTAAAGTGTGACTAAGACCTCATGGTTCACTAAGTTTCTAGCCTGATGCCCTAATTGCTACATTAACTGGCTTTTCCCTGGTATTACTTTAGGGTAAAACAAGAAGTACTAGAAGTGGAAGAAATGATTACCTATATGTTTAAGAACCCAGAGATTGTATCATTAATGTGTGAAATGGTCTAGATTTTTAAAAAAGTATTTAGATGACTTTGATAACTGTCAAATTTTAATTATTTTTAGATAATATAAGAGAATTGTGTATGAAATATTTATAACAAAAATTCATAAACAGATTTGAATTTGCAAAGAAAGCGTGAAATTATATCTTATGCATAGCACAACAGAAGTTTTAATTCCTTAGTGAGAATCTGATCTCACTAAAATTAGGAACTGCTGCAAAACTAAGTTAACATTATACTTTATTTGCAGGATGAGCTAACTGCTGTGAATGTAAAACAAGGTTTCAGTAATCAGCCAGCTTTCTCAGGAGATGAACATGGGTCTGCTAGAAATATTGTTATTAACCCATCAAAGGTAAGTGCTTTTTACAACTAAAAAGTGCTTCCTCTAAAGAATTTCTAATTTTGTATGCTATTTTACAATACCTTTATTGATTTGGTAATGTGTGTCTTCATTTTTTTACTTTTTAGACAGAAAATCTGTGTAACTTGAAACTTATAGACACATTGGTGAATGCATGCAGGGTCAAAATGTTGATTTCCTAATGCTGTGAGTGCCTCATTCCTTCAGTTTGAATCGAAACATCTGGATATATTCATTTCTCTGAAATGAGCCCTCAATAAACTGATCAAGTATATACTTGATATATACTTGATCAGTATATACAAAAGATTTTTAATTAAAGTGTGAAAAAAGAAAATGTCATAGGCTTCAAATTTTTAACATTTGCCTTTTCTGGACAGGTTCTTTAACTGCAAATATCCTTTAATAATAAAGTTTATTTTTATTATAGCTTAAGAAATACTTTAATATTCAGAGTCAATAACTTTTATATCCATAATATCTATACCTGAAAGATAATAGGAGACCATTTTAGTTATTCAGATTATCAAGTTTCTGATGACTACAATAGAGAATTTAGAGGCTAATCTTATGAAGATAATACTTAAAGTAGACTCTTTAATCCGAGACATTATACATAGTTTAAGTTTTAGAAAATGCTTATTATGTTTCTGTTTTTTCTCCTTATCAGATTGGTGCTTATTTTAGCAGCATATTGGCAGAAAAGTTAAAACTTAATACATTCCAGGATACAGGAAAGAAGAAATTGCAAATAAACGCTAAAGACAATTACTGGCTAGTTACTGCTCGTTCCCAGAGTGCAATTCATACTTGGTTTGCAGATTTGGCAGGAAATAAACCTCTGACTTTCCTAGCAAAAAAGGTAAGCCAGGGTGGCGCAATGGTTAGAATGCAGTACAGCAGGCTACTTCTGCTGACTGCCGACTGCCAGCTGCCAGCAATTCATCAGTTCGATTCTCATTGGTTCAGGGTTGACTCAGCCTTCCATCCTTCTGAGGTTGGTAAACTGAGGACCCAGATTGTTGTGGGCTATGTGTTAATTCTGTAAACCGCTTAGTGAGGGCTGTAAAACACTGTGAAGCGGTATATAAGCGGTATATTGCTATTGCTACTTTGAAGATTTCTTAGCTATTTGGGAAAGCTATTTGGGAAAGGAAATTACAAGAGTTCTTGTTCTAGTTTTTACCTCTAAAAATCTCTATTGTCTTTTTCATTTCCCTTTCTCTATTTTTTTCTGGTATCTTCTTTCTTATATCTGAGCTGATGCTGAGCCAACTGAAAATGATGGCAACATAAATGATTTCTGACGACTCATGCAAGTTTCTACAGCTGTTTGTGCAATGTATTACTTATGAACCTCTTGGTGGACAGAACAATTTTGTTCCTATCACTAATGTGCTGCAGTAATGAGGCTGGTGAATGATACCTTAGTTACTTCTTGCAAGAGATTTAAGGAAAGAGATTGGTGGATTTTTCTCCGTGATTTCCCTTGATTGGTGGAAAAACAGCCACCAATCATTTTTGCTCATGTGAGATAGTGCAGAGTAGTGTCAGTTTGGGCAGATGCTTAAAATGCTAAGTTTAGTCACTGGTCAAGGTGACTAAGGGAGCGTACAAGCTGGAGCAGGAGAGAATGACTGATAAATGAGTACTTATCTTGCTAATGCTACAAATGCTGGCAACAAGTGGCCAAGGAATCAAGTTTTGACTCTATGCTAGCTGTAGACAGATGTAGCCCCTGGGTGGCCATGGATATGTATTAGAGCAGACTTCTGGATTTTCACAGTTATGATTGGCTTGTACATAATAGCAACAATAACTGCTATGACCCTTTTATTGTCTACACTGAAATGCAGTGGAAAAAATGACACCTCATCCTCCAATGAGTTGTAAGTAACCATGATATATTGCACAAATAGATACTGAAGCTTGCACGAGTCCTCCGAGATAATAAAGAGAGTAAAAACCCATAAAAATGTATAGCTGCATGAAATCTCTTGTTGCTAACTCTGAGAAAGTTATATTAGAATTTTGTCTTTCACTAAGAATCCCCAACTCTAGGTGCTGACTTGTTTGTATTGTTTCAGACTAAAATAAACATACTGTGTGTAAACTAAAAAGGGAGTTTTTGAAAATGACAGGAGATCTAAACACAAGAGTGGAAGAAGCTGACTTTTCAATATTTCATGAAACCTGATAAAATCTATTTCTTGTTACCAATGTTTAGATATTGTTAAGATCAAGCCTAAATTTCACTTAGGAGTGTTTACCAAGTCTGCATTAGTGGAACTGATCTCTTTTTCACAGAGCTTAGACGCAACACTTTTGAGCTTGCATCTTCAAGAAACATGGCATTTTAAGGATTGGCATTGATGGGAGCTGTTAATTACATTTAGATATAAGAATAGTCAATGTGACATAATATATAAGTTTACCATATTTTGCCTCAAACATTTTTCAGAAGCAGCATATTATAACTATTACATCTATTCAATATTATTTGAAAAAAATGGGGAAATAGTTTGATCAATTAATAAAATATTGATTTTGCCAGCAAATGTGTTTTAAGCTCATGAATTTAAAATCAAGCAGGTTTTAATGGGAATAATAGACAATTTCATTTGATCCAAATTAACTCTATATTAGTTGAATCTACAAATTATTTTTGACATACCAAAGAGCAAAATTTGACTAATCTGGTACCAGTAGTCAATAACTTTTACTTTCTGTAATTACTGTCTTTTTTTTTCTACATATCATTCAGTTATTCCTAGATCTCTGTAGTTGAATAAAATTTTACAATTTGTCATCTAACAGGTTTAGAGTATTGTAACCATTTTTAAAAAGTTATTCCTCTTCTTTTTCAAACATAGGTACCAATTCTCAGCAAAAAGGAAGATGTTTTTGCTTATTTAGCAAGATATTCTGTGCCACTCTTGCGAGCAGCATGGTTGATAAAAATGACTTGTGCCTACTACTCAGCCATCTCTGAAGCTAAAATTAAGAAACGCCAGGCAGCTGATCCAAATCTTGGTAATAAAAGCTGAATGAAATATCTTTGCTTCATTAATGTACATTTTTGCACTGTTGTGTGGTTGCACTATTGTACGGAGGGTATAAGTTGATAAGCTTCACTTTATCCTATATGCTTCATAAACTATAGTAGATGTCAGTGCAGTTCAAAAAACCAAGAATCATAAGCTTGTTGTATCAGAAAATGACAAAAACAAGCTTCCTTTTCCTTTAGGTTCTCATTATTGATCAATGAAAACATATTTGAATTTTTAGTACAAGAGCAGAATTAAAGCAGATAAAAGGTGCTTAGTTGAGTTTCATAACAAACATGCATATAGATAAGAGTTTTCCTTACTTAACTGTTGATGTGGCATGTTCAGGATGCCTAATTAAACCTGCCTCACTCAATAATTCTTTTCAAATGCTTTTATATTGTAGACTTTTGTCTTCATATTTGTCTGTTGGTGTCTCCAAGCAAATATAATTGGCTTGCAAAATATGACCTCTTATGTGTAAAATAGTTTTTCAACCTTTTTTTTTTAATAAAAAAATTTATTTTCAACTTTACAATACATAACAATCTTACAAATACTTCAGATAAAAAATAAAACAAACTGATACACACCACATTCGGTCTTGCCCGCCCATTCCCCCCCAAACCGCATCCCACCTCAAACCAACTTACTTCTTTCCCTCTTTTTCTTCACTCACCCCTTCTCAACCTTGTGCTGTCCAGGTGTTGAACTATAGCTCCTAAAACGTCTGGAGAAGAATAATGTAATGTATTCCTTGTTTCTGATGAAGTGGGTAGCTTTGCTGCTGTAAGAAAATTGTATTTATCCTAAACCAAGATATTTAAATAATGGGTTGTTGAAAAAGCCATAGTGTTCCCTTTGGTATGTAATGTTATGATATCCATCATACTAAGCTGAAAAGAAGCCAAATTGTGCCTTAGATTTTGTTAACTAAACCAGAGAATCTTTTAGTACTTATTTTATTGTCATTGTCAGCCTTTCAGTCATGGTCCTTGGCCACTCTATGGATCAGCACTCTCCATGCCCCTCTGTCTCATACCATCTCCTTTAGATCTGTCATGGTCATCTCAGTGTCATCTTTTATAGTGTCCAGACAGTGGCCCCTTCTCCTTTTTCCAGCATGATTTTCAAGTGAGACAGCTCTCATGACCCGATCAAAGTATGACAGTCTCTATTTGGCGACCTTGACTTCAAGTGATATTTTTGGTGAGGTAAATAAATCTGGTACAGTACTAAGTAAAATTCCAGAATACAATGTACTGTGGCATGTTTATTGATATAGCAAATGAAATGAATTCTAGTTTTTTTAATAGCTGTCACATTAAATTTCAGAGATACTTTATTGACTGATCTATAGATGTAATAAGACTAATTTATTTTCTTGAATGCCCAGAGGCATCATTTTATATCTAGGACTGTTTCATATCTGCTCTGTAATATGTTGATCTCAGTGAGCATCTCAGAGACATGGATTATGAAAATAGAAAGGCTTACTCAGTAATCAGCAGGAAATAGAGTTTTGCTGTAAAGATGATATGTTGACAGTTTGATTTGAATATTTTTTCCCTTTGGCATGTTCTGTCTGTAACATTAATACAGCACTGCATAAATCTGTGATAGTGATGGAGGATTCCATTCTGAAATATCTGTTATCTATTGAAATGATTCTCTTAGTTTATTTCTCTAATATCTCTTGAAAAAAAATAAAGAAACTATGTATAATTGTATCTCTAAAGAAATGGAAATGTGAAACTTATCATTTTTACATATTATTTTTATGGAAAATGTAGGCTGGGAAAAAAGTGAATTTTTGGCTTGTAGGATAGAGAAGCAATTTAGTCACCAAGACATAATCAACATTTCTCAAAGTGTTGCAGGTAATCAAGAAGCACTAAAAGATTATTCCAAATTGCAACTTTTCATGTTACAGAAGGGGAAAATCAGTAACTATATATCCAGAGACAAATATTTTAAGCATATTTCATTTCATTTCCCTTAAATTATGCAAATAAAACAAATTTTGTGATTTGTTTTGGCTCTACCCATGGGTTTGAGGAATACGTCCCTCTCATATACCACACAGATGTAGGATCTTTAGCTAATAAAAGCTGTGTCAAATAGCTGAAAAATAAACTTTGTAAAGGTCATTTCTGAAGCATTTGACCCTGTAGAAATCTTCAGCTTAGCTATCATGTATTTTAGTGAATAACATCTAGCTTTAAACTCTATGGAATGAAATCAAAATGGTATATTTAAATGTAATTATATGTTATGTATTAGATAAAAGGAGTATCTCTGGTTTAAAATATGTTTGGGGATTAAAACTGCATTTTGGAAAAGATTAAACATTCCTGAGCTGCATTCTTCTTTTATAGTATGTGATGTGTAGGTGGAAGCTGATTTGAGAAATACAGTAAGAAAGACATGCAGATAAGGAGGAGAAGGAGAATTGAAGTTGTTTTGTTGAAATGGATGTTATCTTGAATATTAAAATGGATTACTCCACATCTCTTGTCACCCGAGTTCATATCACTGGGGTTAAGCAATCAAAATACGCAGTGTTAACACTGAAATAGAATCTTAAAATAATACGCTGCTCAAAGTTGTGTTGCTGTCCTTTTCTGCAAACTGTAAACTGAGTTGCTCTCAAATGTATAATTTGAATCCAGTAAAATGACCTGGATTGCAAATATCAGATAATCTGGGTCTTCTTGTTGCCACCCAATGGCTATTTGTAGTTCAGATAATAGCCACAAGATGGTGAAAAGTGAATAGCTATAGAAACCTAAGAAAATCCAGGGATAAATTTCTAAGCAATGGGCAGTCAGGTGTCACAGTTCAGCAGCCTAATGGATCATAAATGAAGATATTCAGAATCATGTTTCCAAATGCAAAATGAAATTTGTTTCAGCATTGTATGCCTCTGCCTTAAAGCTCCAGCCTTCAGGTCTACTCTGTGTTCAGGAGCAAAGACTGGTTCCTAAGCAGATCTGTGTGTGAGGGAGATAGATACATGTTCCGTATAACTGAACAATTTCTCACTTTTTGATCCTTTGGCAGTAGTTTTTGAGGCATCTGCTCTTGTGAGGGCTTGTAATCTTTCCTTGGGCTCAACTGTTGAAATATTGCAAAAGATAATCCTGCTCTGAAGTCTGTATGGTTTGTGTTAGCTGGCTGTGGATTTCTGGGAGTTGAAGTCCACGTGCCTTAAAATTGTCAAGGTTGAGAAACACTGTGTTAGAATCAGATGAGGACTCCTCCAGAATGAGAGAAGAATTAATATTAATTTCAAAGGTAGTCACTTATTTTACACTAAGAGTCTCTTTATGTAAAGCCCATAATCAATTTTGGATTTAATTTCCCAAAGTGATGCAAATTATTTTCAGTTGATGACTGGATACTTACATGGAAATGCTTGAAGAACAATTTTTATTCTCACATGAATGATCAAATCTGATTCATATCAAAGTGCAATTCATTTCTTCTTGCTCTAAAAACATAAATGTGATCCATGAAAACAAGACATTTGCAGAATAAACGTCCTTTAGCAAACTTTAGTACTAGTTTGCATTCTATGAAATCACTGCAGTAAAGAGACTGTCATGCTAAAAGTCATTCAAGCTGAATTCTGGTAGATCTCCCATTGATCACTGTTTTGAAGATTATGGGTTTGTGACAGGTCACTTCAGTGTAAATCAAATTGTGATGAATTTTTTGGTTCAGTTTTGTCATTGAGGAAAAATGAATGTCAATGATTACTTAATTTGTGTCTCTGTAGAATGGACTCAAATCTCTACCAGGTACCTAAGAGAACAATTGGTAAAAATTGCAGAATTTTATCACATGACCACAAGCCAAGGCAAAAATTCTGTAGTTGTGCCTCGTGAAGTGGAACAAGCTCTGAAGCAGTGGGAATATAATGAAAAGTTGGCATTTTATATGTTCCAGGTAACCTTTATTTATAACGAAGCAGGATGAAGTTCTACAAAGCAGTACAATGTGATTCTAGTTTGTTTTCAGTCTCCTTGCTCGTAATGTGTTTAGTGTCTGACTATCTTAAATATGTTAAATACTAGTAATTAAAGCCAGTCTCATTTCCAGCTAAATAGTCCTTTTGCTGTTACCATTTGAAATAACCAGGATGAAGAAATGTAGAATTTAAAGTAATGCTAAATAACAATAGTAGCAACAGCAACATTACAGATTTGCATTTGCCATATGTCATTCATCATCTCATGCAATGATCAGAATCATTGCCCTGACCACGAATTATTTATATCTGCATATATATTTATATGAGCAGCTATAAGGAATGTCAGATTATAGTGAAAAACACGTGTGTTAAACGTATTCGATGAAGACTTATTAGTCAAATGATTCAAAATTAAACAATTGGAAAAGAAATATGAATTTACTGCTTTAATCAGTCCTCACTTTATGGCCATTCATTCAGTGACTGTTGAAACTTATGCTAGTGCTGAACAAATGATATTGATCACTTGTCCTCAGAGTTATAGCCATTGCAATGCCCTCATGGTCAGTTGATTAGAATTCAGGTGCTTGGCAGCCCACCTGCATTTACAATCACAATGTGTGCTTCAACTTCTACCCACTTAACTCCCTCCCATTTCTGCTCAGTTGGCTTCCCTGCACTCTGTTTCCCCTGCCACCCTGGCTTCTGCCATCTCTATGACCCTGCACTTCATCCTGCACCCTCACCACTCTGTACTCTCTTGCTGCTCACTGAAAGGCCTGGCTAGGCACACCTTAGCAGCAGGAGAAGGAAGATGGTGAAGACAGCTGGGATGGCAGAGGTGCAGGGGCAATGGAGTGCAGTATAGTCAAAAGGCAGAGTTGGGGGGGGGGTATATGGGGAGTTTAAGTGGAAACAAGCGTGAGGTCCTCAGCTAACGTGGCGTGAGGTCCTCAGCTAACGTGAGAAGCATGAGGTCCTCAGCTAACGTGGCATGGTCCTGGCCTAACAACTGCAACTGGGACCACCAAAACTGCTTTTACTAAGCAGCGTAATATTTCATTTAAGAACTGCATCACTTAGTGGTAGCAATTCTGGTCCCAATTAGAGTTAAGTGAGGATAAATGGTGTTAATTGATACGTAATGATATTAAAAACATCAGAAATGCCAAGACTGTGCATCTTTAATGAAAAAGAAAACTATACTCGTTGCAGAATAAATAAACCTTGTACACTTGGAGAAAGTGTACAAGGTTTATTTATTCATTGAGTTACACAAGCCCCTTCGCCACGACAAGGCAATAATCCATAAAGGGGGTACTTCTATAGGATTATCCAAAAATTCCATCCTTTCATATTCTTCCCCAGAAAGGGGAAGTATAGAGCTTGTTTAGCACATATTTACCACATTTTGGATACCCACTTAGAACAGTTAAATATATTACAACTGGTAGTTCTATACAACAAATTGTAGAAGACTTCTATTCAGACTTTCAAACATTTAGTCCAATTCTTCTCCCTACATTTTTTCTGCCTCCTCTCAGAAGAGAAAACATTCTGTGCCCATTTAGTATGGCCACTCCATATTTAGCTACACTTATATCAGTAAGTGCATAAAATAATTTTTCAGTATAAGTAAGAAATGAAAAATCAGACTACAAGAGCATTCTGCTCTTCTGAAACAAAAAAACCTCTGCCTTTTCTATTTTCTTCCTTGTTCAATTACTCAGCGTCATTCATTCTCCCATCCAGTTGGGTATTGTTTTGCTTAATGCTGATCTCTGAGCATTGTATTTCACTGAAGTAAATCTACGGGCTTGCTCTTCTGATTCTTGTTTGTGAATGGTAAGTTTTTGGTTTCATTAGCACCATCACAGGAAGAATTCAGTTGATACTGGAGGATGATAATGACTCTGTGCAGTCATTTCACATCTTTAGGTTACTGGTGTGCAACTTTTAAACTATTAATTTTAAATTTTAACAATGTTTTGTAATTTATATAAAATATTCAAATGTTTATATGGCAGTTTTGTAACATTAAATTTTGTGGCATTTATTCTTAACTGACATCTTAAGCAATGAAGCAATGATATACTTGTTTTCTGTTGGACTTGGGAATTTCTTTACATATATTTCTAAAATTCGTTAAGGAAGGAATGCTTGAAAGACATGAATATTTAACGTGGATCCTGGATGTCTTGGAAAAAATAAGACCAGCTGATGATGAACTTTTAAAACTCCTCCTCCCACTAATGCTGCAGGTACAAATGATAATATAATTTGCCACAGTCTCAAAATGCTCAATCAGGTGATATTTTCAGAATTCAGTATGTTAAACTAAGTTTATCTTGTTTATAGTTGTATAGGTTTCATTATCAGATAAGAAATCAAATAGCACATGTAAAGAATAACTGCCAACTTTCAGTCTGTCAGCTAAAATATCTGTCTCTTCTCTGTAGTTAATAGTTTTAAGGCTATGAAAGAAAGACTCAGGTCTCAGATTCCTAATACATGGAAATATGTTGATTCTAAAATTAAAGATAATTCAACTTCTGGAGTTGTTGCATCAGTACTAACTTTCACCTTAGTAAGTCTTGGTAAAGAGAATTCAGTCAAATTCACACCTGCAAAAATTTACTTTCAATTCATATATCTACTAGGGGCTTGACATAGAGTAGAGTAGAGTAGAGTAGAGTAGAGTAGAATAGATAGAATAGAATAGAATAGAATAGAATAGAATAGAATAGAATAGAATAGAATAGAATAGAGCTGGAAGGGACCTTGGAGGTCTTCTAGTCCAGCTCCCTGCTCAAGCAGGAGAATCTATACTATTTCAGAAAAATGACTCTCTAGTCTCCTCTTAAAAACCTCCAGAGATGGAGCGCCCACAATTTCTGAAGGCAAGCTATTCCACTGGTTAATTGTCCTCAAGTTGCTTCCCTCTTTGGTCAGTTTCCAACCATTGTTTTTTGTCCTGCCCTCTGGTGCTTTGGAGAATAATTTGACCCCTTCTTTGTGGCTGCGCCTCAAATTTTGGTATACTGCTATCATGTCACTCCTGTTTCTTCTTTTCTTTAGACTAGCCAAACCCAAATCCTGCATCCATTCTTCATATGTTTTAGTCTCCAGGCCTTTGATCATTTTAGTTGCTCTTCTCTGAACTTTTTCTAAAGTCTCAACAGCTTTTTTGTAGTATGGTGACCAAAATTGGTTGCAGTATTCCAGGTGTGGTCTTACTAGGGTTTTATAAAGTGGTACTAATTGTGTAATTCTATGCGTCTGTTTATACAGCCCAGGATTGCTGCATCATCAATAGATCTTGTGAGATTTCAGGCAAGAATGCTGAAATCTTGCGATGTTTTTTTAAAAAATCTGGTAAGATTTGGCCCATTTGCTTACATATTCTTATACTGAAACTCATAATAGTGACTGAGAAGATTCCAGTCCTGATTTTATATTATTTAACATTTTAAAAGTTTATTTTAGAACTCACACTCTGATTTTTGTTTACATACCACACTACTGATTCTGTCAGTATATTGCTTTTTTTATCCCTGAGGCTTAAGGTTTCCATATATCCCTTAGCACTCACCAGATTTCCACCCCCTTAAACAAGACAAAATGGACAACACAGAGCTTAACCATGGTGGGAAGGGTCTGGGACAGAGATGGGCCTAGAAAATCACATAAAAGATAATGGAGGTCCTGTGGCTGCTGCCTGCCAACTCTGATTTAGGAGAGATGAGTTTGAAAAGTGGTAGTTGAAAAAAAGATCTAGCAGACTCGATACACCAAACACTTCCTAGTGTGAGAGACTGGAAGTCCTTGGAAGGACTTAAGGCTTGGCTTAGGATGTTTGGGAATGCTAAAGAAAGTAGCAACAACTGGGTGGGGAATTCTGATGTACATTTAAAATGAATGATCTGATGATGATTTTTTTAAAAATAATATCTTTCAGTATTCTGAAGAGTTTGTTCAGTCAGCCTACCTGTCGCGTCGCCTTGCTTATTTCTGTGCCAGACGTGTCTCTTTGTTGATAAGTGACAATACTAACCTCATAGCTGCCCATTCACCTCATATTATTATTGGACCAAATAATCCTCCTCTGGCAGCTCCCAGCTCTTCTACAACTGGTACTGTAGTCAATCCTGCTCAGCTTGCCTGTTCAGATTTTCTTTCCTGCCCCCAACACCGCCCTCTTGTTTATGGCCTAAGCTGTATGCTGCAGGTAAGTGCATGCTAGAAAGGAAATTCTGAAATAATGTTTATTAGCTATATTTCATAGTTGAATAACATTTCTCTTTTTCCTCCTCCTCCTCCTCCTCCTCCTCCTCCTCCTCCTCCTCCTCCTCCTCCTCCTCCTCCTCCTCCTCCTCCTCCTCCTCTCTCTCTCTCTCTCTCTCTCTCTCTCTCTCTCTCTCTCTCTCTCTCTCTCTCTCTCTCTCCATTTAAAATATCTCAGTTAAGCTTGAAATTTAATTAGGAAGAGATGGGAATTAAAATAGTATTTTTCCTGAGAAATACTTGGCAATTATTCCTTATTTTCTAGGACATTTTCTAGAAAGGCTATTCTTTTTTTAATTTATAAAATAATCACATAGCTAGGAAATTAGAGTAAAAGCTTTAGGGTTATGCTCATTCACGGTGACTTTTTGTAATGTAGTATGAAGATAATCTTAAATTGACTCCAGAACATGGTAGAGGACAGGAAGGCCTGGAGGAATGTTGTCCATGGGGTTATGACGGGTCGGATATGACTTTGCAACTAACAAGAACAACATGAAGATAATAATACTAAGCATCTGCTTTTGTTTGTTGTTCATTACTCCACCAAATCTGTAGTAAAAGTGGTGGAAAAGAACAAGTAGAAGCTCTGTGGTGGTGTTTTTTTGGTAGGAAGGGGAGAAACAGTGGTGTTCTTTTTAGTCTTTAATTCTAATTTTTAATCCAATCTGATGATTTGCTTCAGTATGAGAATCTCTTATTCAGAGCAGAAAATGTTTAACTTTTAAAAGTAGCTTTTGAGCTTTTGTATTTTGAACTGTAGTATGTTACATTCTTTTTTACCAATAGTTTCTTTGTTGGTTTCTGTAAAATTGAATAATCTAATTACATGATTTAAGTTTCTCTGTTTTTTATTTCAGACTATAACTCTCTGTTGCCCAAGTGCCTTGGTTTGGAATTATTCTACAAATGAAAGTAAAACCATAAATCCTGGCTCACCTTTGGATTTACTTCAAGTTTCTCCATCTAGCTTACCAATGCCAGGAGGAAATTCTGTATTCAACCAGCAGGTAGTTTTTATTTGTATTTCAAAATGTGAACAATCTGCTTTGCTGAAAAATTTAATAATTATGTCTTTTAAATGATTGGCTTTACATAGGTAGTGGCCATATCTCCAATTATGCAACACCTTTCCCTACTTCTTCATTGAAGAGTCCATATATTTATATAGGAAGGGGGGGGGCAACAGTTTTCTTCATGGGAATATAGAAAGGTAGAAAAAAGAGTGTAATAAAAGTGTTAAAATAAACTTAGAATGTTGGAATATTTATATAAAAGAATACACCATATAAACATGTTTAATTCTCATGGCTGTGATAATGTTGTGCATACATCTTGAATCTCAAATGCAGTGGAATGGCTTTGATTGGTCAAATGGTTTCAATGTTCCATACCAGTTCTTTACTCTTTCCAATACTGACAAGAGTTGTATAAATGTAAGTAAAATAATAAATAATGCACATAAGCTGAACCATTTATAAGAGATAGTAAGCATTTTTAATATCAGTGCAGTTGTATTCCCCATTAAAATGAATGTCAAAATGTTTGAAGATATCACCTTCCATCTTTTTTTTAATTAAGGCAGTAGCCTAATCCTAAGCTATCCTAAAGCTCTTTCTGCAATAAGGACTTTTGCTCATTCAATTTTAATAAAGTAGCTCCATGACATCATCATCACTATCATCAAAATCTTGTTATAATAGTTTTTATGGAGACTGAATAATTGAATGATATGCTAGACACCAGTACCTTACCATTTTTTTTTTCTGCTGGCACCATTTTAGCTGTTTTTTAAAAATAAATTTAACATTTAACTTGTTCTTTTTCAAATAGAAAAAAGAATTAAAAGAATTATTAACATAGTTTTGTAGCAGACTATGAAAAAGGCATGTCAATTAGCCAATGTAAGTGACTTACATGAGGGTTTCCCCTAATTTATCTTCTTAACATGAATTGTTTGAGGTAAACTTCAGCTGAATGAGTCACTGAACCAAAGGCCTCAGCAAGCTTCTTGTCTGAATGAGGATATAAACTTGGGTTACCCGCTCAAAGCTGAAAACATTTACTATTTCACTGGGTTCCACATTAATAGTTAGTTGTGCATTAATAATTAGTTACACTGAGACAAACATTTAGAGCTCATAGTACAACTTAGCCTACCACAAAAGATGGCTATTTTGAGTGTAAATGAATAGATATCATATACGTCTCCTTGAACTCCTAGAGAATAGGCAGAATATAAATGTAATCAATGAATAATATTCATATTCAAATACCTGAAAAATATGCAGCCTTTCAAGTCATTGTGTTTTGATTTTTATTTTATGCTATTTTCAGCAATATTGCAATAATTGCACAATACTGTACATTTCAAAAGATTTAAAAATTGAGCAGTTCTATGGAATATTGAGATGATTAGTCCTGCTCTGTCTTCACAAATAGCATCCTGTCGATAATTCTGAGCAGAATTTGAGGAATACGTCCTTTCCCTGAACTGTTGAAAATAGATCTCTTTTGTTGCTTTACAGCAGAGGAGTAATGATTGGTTAAAAAATAGTGTCTTATTTTTCAAATGCTAATGAATTTGATTAAAACTTTCAGGAAGATGAATATTAAGGATTTTCAGTTCAAAAGGCTATTTTGTTGTAACTTACATGAGTGTTTTGCTTTCCTGTTTTCCTGTGGTTCATCTGTACTTATTTATTTTTCAAATAAATGCTCTGGCAAAGCTAGCACGTTATGTAGTACATTATGTCTTATATATTCTGTAATGGTTGCTTTCTTTACAGGTTCGTGCAAAGATTTTTGAAGTAGAACAACAGATAAAACAAAGGGGCCATGCTGTGGAAGTACGGTGGTCATTTGACAAGTGCCAAGAATCAACTGCAGGTAGACACCAAAATGGATTGTAAAAGCCATAAAGCTTTATGGACTTGTATTTCATCTAGTGAAATTCATTGACTTTTAAAACTAAGTGGTAACTGCGTTTTAGTTACCATTTATTGCTTTTCAGTCTTGGATTAAAGCCTTATTCTAAATATATTGGTGTTGTCCACTTGAGTGTAGAAGATGAACTGATATGGAAGGAGTATGTTCAAAAATATTTGTTGCTACTTTTATGTCAGTTTTTAAAGTTTCTCAAAAACAACCCCATCTAAAGATGCTGAGTCATTGGATACGAGATGGGTGGCAATTAATTTTTCTAATAAATAAATAAAGAAGCAGTGATTGCAATAGTAAAAATATATGCAGTTGTTGATATTACTATTATTATATACACAACAATGTGAAATCACAGCTGACAGTTCTTTAGCTCATGTTGGCCTTCATACGCATGAAGTTCTTCCCAAATTCTACACACTTGGGAAGTTTCACACAGTGTGTGGTGTAGTGTATGTGTGGATCCATGAATTTGAATATCACACTATAATGATCTAGATCAGTGGTTCTCAACCTTTCTAATGCTGCGACCCCATAATACAGTTCCCCATGTTGTGGTGACCCCCAACCACTTATACATCACCGGGTGCCAGGGGCGTGGCCAAAGAAAAGGGGGAAAAAAATGGCAGACAGCCTTGTTTGGCGACCCCCATGAAATGGTCGTTCGACCCCAAATGGGGTCCCGACCCACAGGTTGAGAACCACTGATCTAGATGCTGAATGCAATAATTCTAGCCCTGAATAATTAGTATCAATACCGTACTTAGTTTATTAGACTGAGTTATTTATTTGTGCAAAAATCATCATTATTATCATTCATCATCCTCATTATTATAATTCATCATCATCATTATGATAATTCATTATCATCATTCAGATAATTTTTTCTCACTACTTGGCAAAACTTTGTTAAGAGGAAAATAAGAATGCTAATTTGTATGGTGCTTCTCTGGAGGTGGTTGCTCCTCACTAACTTTGTCTGAGTTTGGAAGATAAGATGGCTCTGATTTGAAAGTGTTGGAGATCACAAGAAACTCCAGAGCTTTGGGATAAACTTGGAACTTGAAAGAAAACATCTCAGAACAAAGCGGTGGAAAATACTTCTGTAGTATTTCCAAAACTGCATGTGCACACACGCGCGCGCGCGCGCACACACACACACACACACACATTCAAATTTACTCACTAGGAGTTGAGCTTCACTCAAAATCATCTTTTTCCCCTTCTTTTTGAGGGAGGCTTGCTTTAAAAGTGATACTTAAAGGTAGTAATTTTTGCTTATGTGTTTGTTGAAAAATCAGTGGAAAAAATGCCTATTTTCCAAAAAGAAAAAAAAAATGAACTTCTGGCCTTGCCTCTATATTTCAATTCTGCTTATTGACATATTTTGTCATGTTTTGGGAATCGTTTTGGAACACTATGTCCAGGTTATTTTTGGAAAGATTGTTTTGATGTAAGATGTGAGATCCCAAAAAATCACAGCCTATTCCTAAAGAAAAAAGAGGAGAGAAGTCTGGGAACATATCAGTTTATCTTTCTTTTTTTCCTTTGAAAAGTTATAGTTTCCTTTGGTAAGCAGGCCAACTATTTAAAGGATACATTTTGTTCTATTGTTCCAGTAGTTTTATGTATTTTCCCAAGAGATTTTTCTTCCACATTTCACAGTCAAGTCTCATGGTACTTTCACATATAACTGAAAATAGCAGAAATATTATTTCATGTTTTAAGTCTACAAAACTTTTCCATTTAAGCTCATCCAAGGAAAATGTGTTTTCTGCAATCAACTGATAAGTTTTTATCACTTAAACTGAATAGACACTCACACTCAAATATTTATGTCATTAATGCCATTTAAAGTTTTCTCAATGTTTGTGCAAGAATCTACTCAGTTAATGGTCTTAGCATCTTTAAACTTTCTGTAGTATAGCAACTTTCCCAATATGGTACCTTTCAGGGATCTCAGACTCCAAATCCCATTATTTAGCCATGCTAGTTGGGAGTTATAAGATCTGTAGCCCAAGAGATCTGGTGGACACTGGTTAGAGAAGCTTACCTTATAGATTTACTTGTGTCTAATAAACACTACGAGTTTTATAGCTATTAAAACATTTCAAAACTCTTGTTATCACTGTAGCAGTTAATTAGGAGATAGAGAACTCTTAGGGTAGACAAAGGGCTTGTGGGAGAGAGGTTAGTGATAAGACCTTATGAAGGAAGACAGTATGGGAAATGGAGAGCCATAAAACAACACACAGGCAATTCCCAATCAATACCAGTTTTCTTCCAACAAATTGTAATAATGGTACAACTTGAATGTACCATCATTTTTTTATTTTCTGTTTTTTCTTTATCCAGGGGTTACTATCAGCCGTGTTTTGCACACTTTGGAGGTTTTGGATAGACACTGTTTTGATCGTTCAGATTCTAGCAACTCAATGGAAAGCCTTTATAACAAGATTTTCTGGGGAACCCATAATAAGGATAACCAGGAGGTATTTGCATTATTCATATTCATTTTTCCATAGTGTTTAGTTATTATATTCTTCTTTAATATATTTGCTTCAAGTTTGATTTTCAAATTGTGACTGTATGAATATAATGTAGTTTTCAAGGTATCAGTTAAGGTCTGAGGCAATTTTTCAGTGTTATACCACTTCGTTTAAGTTATGTTTTGTAATCCCAACTTGTCAAGAAACTAATTTTTAATCTGACAATTGTGTACAGAAATGTCAAATGAGCAGCTGTGCAAATAACAACACAATGAAAGTGTGTTTACATGTTTCTTGAAATGATTTGTTTTTGGCTGCTCTTTCCCATTCTTCTGGCACTCAAAATAAATTTTGTGATGCTGATTCATTGCTGAAACCAAACATTTATATAAACAACTGTACAAACCATTTCTATAACACTGCAGAGGAGTATATTTTTGTTTTCAAAATTCAGGTTAACACTAAAATTACATGGCTGAATATTGAATTGAATCTGTTCCTTTTATGTAGTGTTTGGATTTGATTGTACTTATATATCATATTTTGATTGAAGGACATTTGTGATCTGCTTTGATAAGAACAAGACTAACAGCAGCATCTTTTCTTTTTATTCCCATTAAGTTCAACAAGGCTTACTGTCTGGTAGTTGGAAGATGTACTTCTGAGAAACCAAGGGGAGATTTGGTCACAATAAAAAATACACATTCAAATATAGGATGTATCTTAAAAGATAGAATAAGGAAAGTATTGATTTCTTCCTATAGGCAACAGGTTAATAGTTCGGAAAAAACTAAGTAAGATCAGAAGTGGTTATTACTGTGTGTGCCCTATTTCCCCAGAGACCTGTTGGCCCCAACCCAATTTGCTTTTGGCAATGCATTAAATGCACAGGCATTTTTGGGCAGATGAGCTCCACTGGCTAGTTGTTTAGTCATTGCTTCAATAATTGTATTATAATTTTTTTTTACCCCAAGGATATAGTGTATTATGATGTCTATTTGTGTTAATTTTTTTTTACTTTATATTTTGTATTTCATCTAAAGTCACCTCATGAGATGGGCAGCTATTTCAGTGGTATGAATGTATGAAAAAATAACTAAATTAATTAATATTGGATGGGACACTTCCAAGAGACACCAGGGCTGAAAGCTAGACTGGGAAAGAAAACTAATAGTCCTCTGAAGATAAGCTCAACTCTTCACATTTATTTATAAATATTATTTGCATTTTAAAAATGTTCAAAGCAAATTCAAAAGCCTAATAATTGTGTTATTAATATTGATGCATGCTTACGGTTTAATATTCTAACCTGTGTTGTGCAATTAACTTGATAACAGTAGAAGAAACAAAAATAGATCTGTAAGTAGATATACCAAAATCCCTCAGTATAATATTTACCACAAGGGTTCATTTATTCAAGAACTGCAGTAACTACCGTAATGTTATCAAAGGAAAGGGAAAAAGAGCACTGTTTTGTAGAACATCTAACCAGTAAATAGTCAGGCTACCATGCTTAGAAATCTTAGTTGTTTTCTCATGTATATTTCCCATTGTCTTGGCAAAATTGCATATAGGTTGAATGCTGCTTAAGCTCGTACAGGTAGTTCTTGATTTATGATCACATAAGTGGGACTGGAATTCTGGTCAGGATGGTTATTAAATGGATCACTACATGACTTCATTTGATTTTATAAGCGTTTTTACGATGGCCACAGTTTTCCAGTTTTCCATGCTGGAAATGACAAAAACATCATAAATCATGGGCATGTGAGCTGCAAGCAGTCATAAGGGCAAGTTGGTTGCCAAGCACCCGAAATGTGATCATGTGACTGTGGGGGATGCAGGATGACATTTCATGACAGTTGGAAGTGCTTTTCAGGCCATAAAGTACCCTTTCCAAGACTCTCACTTCAAACAGTTATTAAGGAACTGGCTGTTAAGTGAGGACTGTCTGTTGCTTGCTGATCACCCCTAACCTATATTATTTCATGATTCTAAAACAAATAGGAAATAATAGGTTTCTCTTCTATGCTATACCAAACTATTTTTATTGTATTTCCTAGCTTTCATCTATCATACCAAATTGTTTTTTTTTTTAACTTTTAATGGAGATAATGTGTGTAACTCAGGGTTGGACTGTGGGGTTTTGGTTATCTGCAAAAAACAACATCCCAGTCAAGGAACTACCAAGGGAAAGCCACAACCCCATCAATATTATCAGGGCCCTGCTACTGTATATATATAAACAAGGAGCAAAGCCCTAACTCATTAGCGCTGATGATATTACCTAATCAGGTAATGAAACGTTTACCAGCAAACAACAAAGACCTTAATTGATTTGTTGACCTTATTAAAAATCAGTGTATTCACTTAAAGCCTTTAGCTTGCAACTGACAGAACAAATGCTATAATTGTGTATGTGCTGGTGTTGACTTCTGGCTGCAACTGCACAAATTGCCAAATCTTGTCAGCTACAGAGGAATAACATTTTTAGAAAGTTGTGATAAAACTTTCAAGAATACATGGTCAAAAAACTGTAGGCTTTGACAATATTGTTAGCTGGAAAATCTGTTTTTCATGAGCCTTAATGTCATGTAACAAATATAGCACTTTTCTGATATTATATTTTGGCCATAATGACCACTAAATCATGGTTCAGTTGATCATGGTTTATTGAATAAGTAAAATTAACTTACTGTTTTGTATATACCTAAAATTTGAAAAATTGCATCTGAACCACTAGATGGCAGTTTATTTCTTTATCAAAAAAGAGCAAAATTTCTTTATCAAAAAAGAGCAAAAATGTTACAGCCTATTTTCTTTTAAAGCTGGACACCTGTTAGAAAGACATGAATATCTTTCATGCTATTCTTTTTAAAAATAGTTTTTGTGCTTTTTTTCTTTCTAGCAAGTTATTGATTATAGTTGAATTTTTATTCAGTTTGAGCATATAAATTTGGAGCCTCTTCTGTATATACAAGAGTGAAATTATTTCATAATTACAATGAAAAACAGTTAAATTATTTAGACTGAAATATTGGCAAATTACAGTAAAGCCTACAAAAACATCTATGTGATTAAATTTTTTAAAAATAAAAGCTAGTGTTCATTGATGTAAGTTAAAAAGTGTCATTTGGTTGATGTGCTCAGCCATAGAAAAATAAATAGATAAATAAAAAGTTACCTTAGCAGTATGATTTTACTGTTATTTAATGTTTAGTTTGCTGTATCATGGAGAAAATGTATTTATGGGGTCAGAAAGTGTCAACATTGGGCACATAATCACATTTTTAATAATGAAAGTTGTATACCTTTATCTTTGTAAGTTTGTATAAACAAAGCCTTTGAACATAAGATTTGCAAACAAAAAATTGGATTATTTTAGTTTGTTAGAGATGTATTTTAATTTTATTAATTATACATTTTAAAACTTATGCAGAATTCTTTAAGAACATATCAGGGCAAAGCCAAGTGTTTTGAGGTAATATTTATGACATGGTCATAAACATAAGTTGTGTCCTTTGTGTTTCATGTTGTGGGAGAATAACTTTTGGAAGTTTTAAGAAATAAAACTTTTGGGTAAAGGACAGAAGGAACTTATTCACAGCAACCTTTATCCCTTCTCTGCCTGCTGACTATTTATCAGAACAAGCCTTGAAAGTTTTCCAGTAAAGTCCTTAATAAAAATATCTTATTTAGCACTAAATTATCCATGGATAGCAAAAGGTTCGATTCTGTCAACATCACAGTTTCATTTAGTTACTCAAAGCCATGTTTTGTGTTCTCTTGAACTCTGCTCTTTAATACTTACTCTTTGATGTTACTTTTCATCTCACTTTGTGGAGAAGATATCCATCGTACTAAAAGTCTGCTTTCACAGACAATTCTATCTACTGCCTACACAAAAACAATTTATTTTGAAAAATCAGTTCTTAGTGCTATCTTTTGTTGTTGAGAAAGGAGCTGATCAGAAACATTTGCCTACTTGCTTAGTTTGCTTATTTTCTACTGGCCTGCTGCAGTTTCTCTCTAACTTTCATTATTCATGATATGTGATATCAGTTCATGCAAGGAGCATTAATGTATACATTAAGCATGCCTCAGCCTCAGCCAGAAGACTAATATAACCCTCCTAAACAAGCTGAGTTGGAAGAAAGGTTCACGTCATACATCTTGTTGTCAGTAGCTGAAATTTTTAGAAAGGCTAACATAGACATTGAGTCAAAATGAAACATGTTCTTAAAAATAAATCCACCCTTTGTTTTTGCCCATTTGAAGTGAAAAACTGGACTCTCACTCTTTTGGAAATGAATAAGAAAGCATAGGCTACCAGGAAAACAGTTGGGAAGGATGCCTGCCCTAAATCTTATTCCACAAGAGCTGTGCTAAAAGATAATTAGAGGATCTTCATTAACCATTTTCCTAATAAGAAAAGGGCTAACTGAATAAGGAATAATGATGGTCTACTTATTCTCTTTCCATTACTGTACAGTCATATTCATAAGAACCACAAATGAAATTAAATGAAAAATATACAGTCCATTAATATAGATCAAACAAATAGATGTGCAGATAGAGAAAATATTCAGCAGACCAAATTATATGTGCCATTGTTTGCCCACTGAAATTCATTTGCAGGTTCTATCCCTGATACCATAGTTTCCTAGGAGTTGAAGTCCACAAGTCTTAATGTTGCCAGATATGGAGACCTCTCATTTAGACTATTGAGTCTTATCTCCTGTTCAGTGCAAAGATCCAAATTAAAGCATCCTAGACAGATTGCTGTCTAGCATCCATACTTAATTACATCAAATCCACTATTTTGTATAATTGTTTCCATTGTTGAATTGTTCTTAATATTAGAAAGTTTTTTTATGACATACAATTGGTAGATTAGACCCATTATTCTATGTCCTGAACTTTCAAACAAAAGAGAATATGTCTTTGAATCTTGATCTCTATCCAATTGTATTGGAATATTAATGAGTATTCTTTTTTAAACT